GTGGGTGGTACTTCTGTGTGCACCTCTGCCTACGCCTTCGAGGATAAAAGGCGTGATGTTATGTTATTTGGATTAATTTGGATCTGGTATTCAATGCATAGCTGTAAGGTATCATATAACCAAGGTCAAGAAATCTGTAATACTACCCAATCGAAAACGTTTAACGCAACCAATTCCGTAGTACAAGCACCTAGGCATAAAACTAAACGACTGACACTCAAACTGCTCCATCGTAGACTGCATCATCGCTTACCACCAGGCGAGATAGTGGTCAAATGTCGGTCCATAACCATACACGCTAGGTTTTGCATTATGGTTTTAGCTGTGCATGCATAACCGACAGGTAAGCCCTAGCGTGTATGTGATTAAACTGTACAGTTATCGGCGCATCGGTGCTCGGGGTTATGCTTGTCGGTTTTGCATGCACAATTATAACCATCATGCATAACCTAGCGTGTATGGCCACCACCTTAAAGTATACATAAAAAACTGTCTACCCGACTTCCACGCAAACAATATAACTACCGGCTTGTCAATACAAGCTTTTTGACGGCACGGTTCAAGTCCGATTCCCGCACGGACCAACTCTGTGTGATCCACAAATTGTTGTTCCGGGTCTGGGTGTCATGTGTATGTGGACTTGTATGTTTTGTTGCACCTTTAAAGTAAAAGTGTTATTAAACGAAAATATTCGTGAATTGAGTCAATGCCATCTATTTATTTTAGGATATTTAAATAGTAAATAGTCATGTAAATACTCAATTCATGAAAATTTTTCGTTTAATGCACCCACGACACAGGAGAATTTGGCGACACTAATGTGTTGAAATTTTTTATGTGTTCTAAAGTGCGTAGCTGCGCCTGTGACCCTATAGCGTTAGCACGCCAGTCGTCTCCCAGCTCCCATCTTTGGTATTAACCAGTACCTAATATTTTTCAATTTTAAATTAGTTGTGAATTGTGTATTTTCTAAGAACAATATAAACGCAAAGTTTTACCTATTTCATTTTGGAATGTCATTGACTATTCTGGAGTCAAGTGAATTTTAATAAGAATACACACCACGTACTTTAAGAACATCCTAGGGTGGGGCAAAAAAAAATTGGAAAAGATTACAAATTTTCTCATCGTGCATAATCTGGGGGGTGTTGGAGACTTGCAGGTGACCATAGGCGGCGCTAAAGTTTAAAAAATTAACAAGCCACCCCCTAGACCAATAGCAGGCGACGCTCTTGCATATCCTAGACTTCTAGACCGTGATAAATTTTAAAATTCAGTTCGAATACTCTATGCTGCGTTCCATCTTCACCTATTTTTAAATGAACAGACATTATGATAATTAAAAGTATTACGCTATTTCCCACGTGACCTGATTACTGCGTATGACGACAAGATGGTACATATTTTTCTAGTTGTCGATAACGATAACCCTTTATTACGAGATGGACTTTTATCACTATTATTTAAGTTTTAATAGGTATCAGTCTCTAATAGGCAAATAATTTCAATAGGAAAGTTCCTTAGAAACATGCGGAATTTATCCTATTATCAACAGCCTAAATGCCAATGCACTGCTGAGTAAAGCCTCTTCTCGCACGTAGAAGGTTTGGGCATTAATCATTACGCTTGCTCAAGCTCAGGTTTCCTCACGATGTTTTCCTTCACCGTTTGTCAGTGGCGTCTAAATATTTTAGAAAGAACGTATAACTCGTAAAAGTGATATTGGTACCTGCCATTGGTAGATTTCGAACTAGCACCGTCATGCATGAGAAGTGGGCGTCTTAAACTTCCGGGCCACCACGACAATTTATCCTAATCTATGGATAATTCAAGGCTTGGATTTCGCAACCAAATTTAGCATAAGAAGATACCTTTTTTTTTGTGTGTGCAATAAAGTATAAATAAATATGTAAATAAATACCTAGGTAGTACCTAACAGTGTTGTGCCCGATGAACGGTAGAATCCTAGCCGTATCATCTCTGAAAACTTGATTTAACAAAGTGAAAAGTGCTTAGACAAGTATTCTGGAGCCTGAAAAATAATCATAAGTAGTATATTATTAAAATAGGCTCACCCCGTATTACATGGGACTCACAACATAAATAGTGAAAAGTGAATAAATAGTGAAACCCTTACATTGTACAGTGGCATAATGTACACCTCTGCCTGTCTACCCCTTCAGAGTAAAAGGCGTGATGTTATGTATGTATGTATGTATATTATTAAAACTACGTAATAATTGTGTCATATTAAACAAATGTCTTCCATGTTTTCATTTCCCGTTGTGCCAATAAAACATTCAGCAAAGATTTTCACGGGCCACTAACATTAATATAAATACAAAGATAATTTATCACGTTTAACGCAATCATAATAAAATGCTAGCCTACGTCTTGTTTTTTAAAACGAAATATGTGTTTTACCTATTACAATATAGGATAGTAGAGTTAGGTATATACAGCTACACATCAAGCTATGCAAACCAGTATAAACTGAGCGTTGAATGTACGGAAAGATCATACAGCAAGAGATCATGATAAATTGGATACGTATAACTTGTAGGTACATGTCTTTTTGTTTTTCTCTCAATTGCAGAATCATTTCAACAGAATTTCGTTTGAGTAGATAATGCAGTTCGTGTTATTGAAGATAACAAAAAGAAATTGGATAGTTTATTGAACTTTTTACTTGTTTTGTTTTTAAAATAACTTGTGCTACAACTTGGGAAAAACATTACACCGTCACCCATTGTTCACAATACCTCCTTTTCGTCACTTTAATGATTATTTCAATTTAAGATGTAAAATATATGAAGACTAATAATAACATAATTTCTGCCCATGGGAGAAAGGTGTAAGGTTATATATGATGCCCGCGATACAGGATTGTCCTAGTGCAGGCATCTATGTGAGATCAATTGTACGTACTTAAGATATATTTTTGTATTTTGCATTTTTGTTAGTATGAATAAAGGCTTTATGTTTTTTATTTTTTTTATGTGTGTGTGTATTTAATATCAAAAACCAATTAGCAATATTATAAATCCGTTTGTTTGTTTACCGTCGCAATGGAGTGATTTAAAGTGATACGATTATGAAATTTTCAAATCTTTTATTAAATCATAACTTATAACTAAACATAATATTTACAAAACATTATTTACGGCGCTATACCTTTGTTTTATGTAAAAGTGAATCCATCAGTTGGATAATTATATAACTGAAGTTTTTATTTTACTACCCTACTTCATCAAGGAGACCTCTTAACAGGTGTTAGTTTCAATAAACTTTTTATAAAAGCATTTGAATTGTTTTGTAGATTAAAAAATTATATACTTTGATTGCAATATTAGTTGGTAGAAGATTAGTATTTAGCTTTTTTGTAGGATAAGCCGGTAAACGAGCATCGTCGACCATCAGAGGTCTTAGTACGAGTTTCTTTTTCGTGTAAAGTAATCGTAACGAGTATGCGTTCGGCGCTGTGATTGGCCGGCTCTAATGAACCAACCAATCAGAGTACCAAGCACGAATAACTATCGCATTCGTATCGTAACAGTATCGAGCGAGTTAAGCATTCTGATTGGTTGGTTCACTTGAGCCGGCCAATCAGAGCGTCGAACGCGCTCGATACTATTACGTTACGAATGCGATAGTTATTCGTGCTTGGCCCAGAGCACTGAACGCCGTCTCGTTTCGATTCCTTTAGACGAAACAGAAACTTGTACTAAAGCTTCAGGTGATGGTAAGCAATCGGCGTCGTCCAATGACGCTTGAAACACCAGAGACGTTACAATAGTGTTAGCGGCCTGGAGATTAGGAATTTGAATACTGTTAAGGTTTGGGGAGATATAGGAGGAGGGGAATTTGGTCTCCAGTAGTTACACAGTTGTTAAGAAAGAAAAATAACTTTTTACACTTTTACAACGCTTTTCAACAACACCTGTATAATTGTCTTCCAAGTATAAAGTAGGTCTTTATTTCTGTTTATTTGAGTCTCACATTTATGTAACATAAAATAGACATTTTGTCTGACTTTCAAAAGCACAACAGAATTATATTAAAATCGCCTTCAAAAAGTTTTATCACCTTTTGATAATTTTAATGAACTAATGGCAGTGCAATTTTTAGAATATTAGTGCATATCGATTGCTGAGTTTTCTTCTATATTTTAGCTCCGTTCTGTATCTCCGTCATACCACCATAATTAGTATTGTTGTACCATGTCTCAGTGGACCAGTAGGACAAAGTCGGTACATCAAGGTATTCCAAACCCTTCTAGATTCCCCTTAACTCGTCGAGTACCGGTTTTATAGACACAATTAAAGAACAATAGGTCGCGGTCACCGGTGACCGCTTGGTGTTTGACAGATTAAGTGTATCCAAGAAGATTATGTGGCATGGTGCACCAGTTATTAGTCTCATGTAATAGGTGCAAGCCTTTAGTCATGACATGTGTTAGACAAAATTGGGTAGTTGTCAAGTGGTCGAATTCAATACTGTCGTAAACGAATATGAATTTTGGACGATATTGTGTATTGTGACGTCACTTTTTTATCGTCAAGCAGCATACTTATTTCTTAAATACTGCTGGTAAAATACTAAAATTAAGTTGGTCGTAAAATCAATTAACGAAATTGTAAATTCAATTTAATATTTTATTGTATTGAACAGTCGAAATAATTTATTTTTGATTAAGGAAAGTACCCTATAATAAACTCTGTGCTAAATTGAAAATCTATTAAACTGTCAAACACCAAGCGGTCACCGATGACCGCGACCTATTGTTTTTTAATTGTGTCTATAAAACCGGTACTCGACGAGTTAATAGACGTGATATTATGCAGGTAAAGTATTTTTTCTTTGAAAAACTATTGACTGTTTAGAGTACCTTGATGTACTTATGTCATCATCAACTTGGCCACTCCCCAAGGCATGAAGATCATTCAAATTGAATACGCAATTTCTAAATATTGTCTACTTTGTAACAGTCTTTCAAAACGCTACAATAGTCCTTCCATTTCTTTCATAAACTGCATATAAGCATCGTCCTTGCTCGGCAGTTGTTTGGGCATGTCCGCCTGCCGTTGAATGGTTCCAGATTTGAGTCCAGGCTTAACCTTTTTGTCTTCTCTTTTGACTCGTAAAGCTGATGGCACGAATCTTGTAACGTCAGCTGACAAATTCCTTATCTGGGGTTTGGCACTGATTGTTGCTCCTGAAAACAATATTTAGAATGTGGTAATTTGGAGGCACTAAAGGATATTGAGAGTATATTTTATTGATGTTACTGTTATTTTACCATAGTTACGAGTTTCAAACTTGAGCTTCACTTTGGCTGAATTTTATCTATGTGGTATGATCTTAAGAATAAATCGGTTACATGTAAAATTTTTAACACAAGTAGATTGTTTACGTTTTGATTAGATTTGCACTAACTTCGATAATAATAGATGTCATAGAGAACCTAGCTAGACCATCATTTGCACGAAATTATAATGATCACTAAATCGAAAGGTAAATAGTTATGGGCATTCTGATATACTGGCACAGCCTGTATACTTATTTAACATTAATTTCTTCAGATTTAGAGTAGTTACATTGTTAGAGGTTGAAAATAACAATATGTTTTTTTAAAAGAGTAACGAATAGTTTGTTGCTCGTTCTTCTCCATTCGAATCTACATTTTGGAATGAGCACCTAGCTTCACTGACTGTCTGAAAGTGAAGCTAGGTGCTCATTATGACTGAGAGAATATTATTTATTTTAATTGAAATTATGGTTTAATTGAAATAAATGTTTTGACATTGACTTTATTCTTTTTTAACATTTTTAATTACAGTGTAGGATTAGCTTTGCTTTGCCAGTTAGCGACATAAACTGCTGTATGTATGGAACAGATATAAAGGCTAGTTTCATTCATCAGTCAATTCAAGAAATAACATGAAATAGCACCAACCTTGCTGAGCATCCTTCTTCGTGATCAGTTGTGGAGCGGCAGACAATACAGACAGCTGTGGATGTGGCTTGGGAGGCGGCGGCGGCACCAGCGGACGCAGCAGGCGGGGCGGCGCGCCGGGCGGCGGGCCTGGCGGACGGAGCATGCCACGGGGCAAACTGGGAAGACCTGGAAAGAAATATATTATAGACTTTAGTTTTCTACTTGTACTGCTTGGTTTTAACGTTAAGTGTGGGAGAGTCATGCTTCGGCACGAATGGGCCGGCTCGACCGGAGTGATACCACGGCCTCACAGAAAACCGACGTGAAGCAACGCTTGCGTTGTGTTTCGTCGTATGAGTGAGGTTACCGGAGGCCCAATTACCTTCCCCTTCCCCAATCTCCCCAATCCCTGAATCCCCAACGATCCTCAAACTCCTAATCCCCAAAAAGCCGGTGACGCACTAGTAACGCCTCTGGTGTTCCAGGTGTCCATTGGCGACGCCGATTGCTTACCATCAGGTAATCCGTCTGCTCGTTTACCGGCTTATGCCATAAAAAAACCCTTTACAGGATTCAAGTATGTATTGGAACCTAGACCTACATACATCAGAAGCGTGTCTTCCTTGAGCTCTAAACCAAAAACTAATATAAATACACGTTGTTCATTAATGTAAGTAATTTTTTGATTGGAATCAAAGTTATCCTTCTGAGACAAAGCAAAACGAACTTAGCAGTTTAAATTCAAATTGTTTCGTATCTCACATTAGTTATTATTTATTATCTCTGTTGCTTTTACAGTTGAATTAGGTTAAAAAGTTAGTAGGTTTTCAATAACTCATTTCGAAAAATAGTTTTGTTTCTATATCAAAAATCATATATGAAAGTACCAAGTAACCATCATATTTTTGTCAAGTTCTTTGCAATATTTTACCTGCAGGTGGACCTGGTGGTCCAGGTGGAGGTCCAGGAGGGCCGGGCGGTGGTCCAGGGGGAACTAGACGCATTGGGGGCGCTAGGGGAGCGCGGAGAGGCGGCGGACGGAGACCTGGAAATATATAAATTTAGTTAATGGCTTAGAGCATGTAATCTTTAAAGATTCTCGAGTCGAATACAGTAATATTAGACTGTTTGATTGAATGAATCATCAATAATAGTGCGGGTCCAGAATAAATTTGTTTTTAGCAACATATTTCCATTTATTCATAATATTCTCTTACCTTCCTAATAGTACAGACACAAATAATACAATTATTATTATTATACTGAAACTTTATACGTAACATCGTGCCTTTTATCCCCGAAGGGGTAGGTAGATGTGTACATTATGCTACTGTACAATGTAACACCTACTTTTCACTATTTATGTTATGAGTCCCACGTAATAGGGGTGCCTATTGCCATATACCGGGCACAATTCCAGACGCTGTGCTACTACTGAGAATTTTTTGAAAAACCCAGCAATACTTTGCCCGACCCGAGAATCGAACCCGAGAACTTGCGGACCACTCGGCCAATGAAGCAGTCCGTGATGGCAGTGACTGAAACTTCATAATAATATGTTTTCAGGGAAACTGTACGTAGACATATTGCGCAGTCCACCTTGAGTACCTTGGCGTAGGTAAGGGAAATAAAATTATACTAATAATGCATGTATTGATCCTTACCCGGCGGTAACAATGGCGGCGGCATCTGTCTCAGCTCGGCGCCGGGTGGTTCCAGCGTGAAGTCAGGCGGGCCGGGGTGCGGCACGTGCTGCGGGGGCGGACCCTCCGTGTCCGAGTCTGAGTCACTGTCGCGACCGCCGCCTGTACGCTTTAGGGCGCTTAATCTGGAGACATAATAATTATAGAATATTAATTAATTGTTAATATTATTTTATACCAACAATAATAGAGTATCATAAAACTTATAAGAAATTAGGTAGAAGACGTAGTTAGTTTCTAGCAAAATGAGGTTAGTGTTTTGTACACATTTTTAAAGTGAAGTGAGTCAATTTTTTGTTGATTTTTGGTCCCTCAAGTGGGCGAGGACCCGTGAAATTGAACCCCTAACTTATGGTTATCGAATAAATTATTGTTTATTGTTGCAAATAACGATTCACTAAAAATCAGCACTTTTTTAATAGAACCAGATGAAGCCGGTTACTGATAGCACATATTTGTATAGCTATGGCAGGTTTTAAAACAATATTTTTGCGTATAACATCATAATTATTATTTATATTTTGGTTATACAAAATGACAAAACTCACCTAGCATTAAGATCAGCAGCTCTATCCCGTTCCCTCTTCCTGTGCACCTCTTCCATCTCCTTCATGAAGTCGTCAATGTTTTGTCCGGAGAGTGCCAGCATGCGTTGTTGCAAGGAGGTCGGTTTGGGCGCCTGCGTCGCTGCGGCGGCCGCGGCTGCAGGAGTTACTGGCTCCTCATCCACTACCTCGCCGTCAATATTCTCTGGTATAGGTGGTTTTAGTACTTGGACCTTTGGTAGTGGTGCCTGGAATTTTATAAAGTTAGTTATAAGTTTTTAGGCACTGGGGTGTGCTTTGAAACGTGGTTGCCCGGAGGTTTTAGACGCCTGCTTTTCATGCATGAGGGCAAGTACTAATATGACTTTTCCCAAGTTATATGTATGTACTTTCTAAGATTATTTAGTTAGATACCACTGACAAACGGTAAAGGAAACATTTTGACGAAACCTGGTCTTATAATTTCTATTTATAAGTTTGAAATCTTCATCCCGCATTGAGCAAACGTGGTGATTAATGCTCAAATCTTCTCCGTGCGAGAAGAGGTCAGCAGTGGCCACTTATACTTTGACACAAGAAAACTGTGTGCTAAGCATTTCATTTCTGATATAAAATTAAGTTTTGTTTATGGAAACTTCGGTTTTAACTTCTAAATTACGTCTAAAAACTCAATGGTTAAACTGCAAATTAAGATAAAGTAACTACCTTTACTTCATTCAAGTCAAAAGCTTGTTTATCCCACCGATCATATAAAAAGATCTATATCTATCCCACCTATCTATAATAATAGTGAACATAGTTACCCGCTGATTTCTAAATCAAGAATAGTGTAGAAAGTCTAATTAGGCCATTTGACATATATAACATCACGCCTTTATCCCTAAAGAGCGAGGCAGAGGTGCACATTACGGCGGTTAATACCACTGTATAATGTAACACCCACTTTTCACTATTTATATTATGAGTCCCATGTAATAGGGGGTGACCCTATTGCCATATACCGGGCACAATTCCAGACTATGTGCTACTACTGAGATGTTTTTTAAACTTAGTAATACTTTGCTCCACCCGGGAATCTAAAAATCAGCTAACGAGGCAGTAGACCATTTGAATAGGAGAGTTATTTATTTTTCTTTTACAAATATTTAAAAATTATATTTACATTAGATTATTATTTTTACATTACTCGTATTATATAAGTCATTATTAATTGTCAAGTGTCACGTGGTGCTATGTTTCCATGAATATTGAGAGACCTGGCTCTTGTGATACAGGGTTACCTAGTACAAGAGCCAGGGCTTCACTCTGTTAATTCTATGAAGCGCTAATAAACGTTTTTTTATTTTTTTTATCAGAAATACAATTTTATACTCACACATTCACCCGGAGGTCCTTCATCAGGCATATCGGAGAACCTGAGCACCTTGTTATTGGTAACGACGGGTGGAGGGGCGGCCGCAGCTTTGTCTTTCTTATACATCTTCTCTTTCTCCAGCACCAGGATCTCGAAGTCACATGGCGGACCTGGTGGCACGCCGGGCGGTTCTAGACCGACTGGCTTCTCCTAGAACATTTTCGTTTACTGTTCAACCATAATTATGCGGTGTTTTGTTAGTAGATTTTTTTTTTGTAGTGAGTAACGAGGTGATCCGACAGAGAACTAAAGTTACCGACGTAACCAAAAGATTAGCAGGTTGAAATGGCAGTGGGTCGGTCGCATTTATCGAAGAACCGATGACCGTTGGGGTAAACGTGTTCTAGAGTGGAGACCGCGTCTAAGCAAACGTAGTGTAGGGCGCCCGCCAGCTGGGTGGATACGATCAACTTAGGAAGTTATGTTATTTAACCCTTTGAGTACCGTCATTATAGACACAATTAAAGAACAATAGGTTGCGGTCACCGGTGTCGTCGCGGTGTGTGACAGTTTAAGATCGTAAGACATGATAACGATGATGATGTTTTTTTTTGAGGGGGGGAAATTATCCTATGGCCTCCCCCGCCTAGGCGAGGTGAGATCCGGTAATGTAGGACTATAACTGACTAAAAATCGACTGTTTGATTTTACAAAACTATTAGATGCTTCACTTAACTAAAGCTAATCGTTTATATTTAAGCTATGAACTTACTTTGTACGCCGAATCCTTTTTCAGTATAGGTTTAACAGCGACTGGCAACACCGCATCCACTGGTAACGGTATTTGTGAAGGTACATTGCTAAATATTAAGTTGTCTGGAACCTGGAAATAAAAGATACTTTTAAAAAAAACCTGAAGGTAATGGTATTAGATTTATATCTTATACTATTATATTAAGCTGAAGGGTCTGTTTGTTCGTTTGTTTGTTTGTTTGAACGCTCTAATCTAAATAACTAATAGTCCGATTTGTAAAATTCATTTTTGTGTTGGATAGTCCATTTATCGAGGAAAGCTATAGGCTATAAAACATCACGCTACGATCAATAGGCACCGAGCAGAGCGGGTTAAGCCGCGCGAAAGTAGCTAGTTAAGTGCTATATTACGAATAATCATGAAAACTAACTCTTCACCTTCTATCGTTACTGTTTGCACAAAGTCAGTATAAAAGTGAATCATAACATAACATAGAATCACGGCTTTTATCCCCGAAGGGGTAGGCAGAGGTGCTCATTATACCACTGTACAATGTAACACCCACTGTACAATGTAACACCCACCAAAAGTGAATCTTAAAATAAAAACGAAGTTTATTTTTATGAGAAATCAGACCTGTACAGCTATCGTACGTATCGAAGATCAAGTCATCAGCTGAGAACATTAAAGATTATAAAATAATATGTATTAGGAACATTATCTATCAAAAGACGAACTACATAGTTATCAGCACAAATTCGCTATACAGAGATACATGATAAGGAAAAATTTCTTAAATCATCTATTCATACTTAATAGCAATCCATAGAACGCAATTCTCGTCCCACTATCTTATATACAAATAAATGCATGTTCACGGTGTTTTACTATAAAAGCGAGGATTTATCAAAACCATTATTATCTGTTGATAAAGGTGATTATTGAACTTGAATCTTCCAATGACTAAACATATTTTATGTAGCGACAATGTTAAAGCACATACTGTGTAACTTATGTTTTTTATTTGAACTATGTTAGAATATTAGGACGTATTCACACAGGGCGTATTAATGTTCGAAGTTATGAATTCATGTTAATAAAAAGGTCTTTGCGAATGAATATGAGCGGCAATTAAAAAATAAAAGTTTAAAAAGTATCCAGTGTGAATGTATCCTAACATTGCATGTTGAGAATTGAATTTTTAACAACAATATTTGCTTGTGTATACAGCGTGATATTATTTAAAGTCGTTTGCATTCTCTCAATATTTAGACACTACTTGTGTCATATCTAATTTTAAGCCAGTTGAATTTACTACCACAAATATTTATTGCTGCATAATTATTTAATTTCTTAATTTAGATTCACCAGACTGTATACACTAGATTAAATAAGGAACCGCAATTAACTGGTTTGAGACAGTATTTTGGCTCCAAATTATCATTTTGTTTTTTAATACTCACTTGTAAAGTTGGCAATGGTATATCATCTACTTGGACTGACTGTGCATGCTTCACAGATTCATAATAAGATATTAAATGTGCTTTCCTTTTCTCATACTCCATTTCCTGACGCTTGAGGTCTACCCATTTTTCCGGATCATCTTTGTCCTGAAATTTTACATTGAAATTATAGTGTATAACAAAAATAGAAGGAAAACTCAGATCTTCATGAATATTGAAGTACCTTTTAAACTCAAAAACATCATTAAAACCAAAATACAATACAATAATAATGATAATAAATTGCTGAGTTGCTAAAATACTTCGATAAAATGTTATTAAAGTACACTTTACTATAAATATTAATTACTAGTCACAATTTCGCCATGTTGTGAAATATTATGCAACAGACCTGATTGCGTACTTTTTTAAAAACAGAGCTATTTATAATACACTACATTTACATAAATATAAACGAATGTTTTCGATTTCAATGGTAGTAAACATGAGTTATAAGAAATAAAATCGAATGCACGGTTGTCGCGGGTTCGATTCCAGCCCGAACTCTTTGTGTGATCCACAGATTGTTTTTCCGGGTCTGGGTGTAATGTGTATGTGAACTTGTATGTTTATAAACGCACCCATGACTCAGGAGAAAATCCAAGTGTAGGGCCACGTTTATTTAAAAAAAAAACTCCCCCGGGAACATGATATCAAAAAACCTCATATTTATGAAACATTATGTGAAATAGTATAATGTACCATCATTAATAAATTATACAAAGTTGGACCATTAAGTTTGATAGTTCAATTAAATAATAATTTAGCTATGCCCAATCGAAATGGTATGCAGGTGAAACCATCATAGATGGGAAAGTCGGGAGAAAAAAGTATCCCGATACATTTTGACAAGAATGGAATGATGACATTATAATATAATGAAGTCTATATTATATTACTGATAGATATAATCAGCTACCATTTAAAATAATAATATACTTACATACATCTTGAGAACTCTATCAAAGGTTTCTCTTAATTTCTTTCTTTTCTCTTTTAACACTTTTTCGTTCAGAGGCGATGGTTGCAACACATTGTATTCTAAAAACAAAAAAAAATATTGGTAATAATTTTATCAACAATGTAATAAAGTTAGCATTACATATATCAATAAATAATTTTGAGTTAAGACACTGTCGAACACCTCTATACTAATATTGTCAATTTTACAATCTCGGCTAAGCACACCTATTATAATTAATGTTTCGTAAGATATACTAAATAATTATATAGTGGCAGCGCGACAGTCACCGCATCGCGGGTCGCGGAATGCTACTCATGAATAAGAGCCCCTAGCATGGCTTGAAACTAGTCGAGTTCCTCGTCAAACAGTTACGTGAGTAAGCTGAAAACATAATAATTAATATTCAATATGCTATAATTTCTTAGTAAACACATCAAATAGTTGATTTAAAGTTGAAAACATAATTTTTAATAATTTATGTATCTAAAGATAGTAGAGCATTGTGTTCTTATCAAAATAAAAAACAAAAAATTTAAAATAATATTCCATGAATTAATTAAAGACTTTTTGATCTAACTGTACAAAAACACTTATATTATTTATGACATAGTTAGTTGTTTATATTTTCTTCTGCTTCTCCTTTCTTTAAATTCCACATAATAAATCATTACATTGAAATATACAAGGTGTAATCTGAAGGCACAGTAGTGCCCCCGCACAGTCGAGCGAGATACTAATTACATGAACAAAAAGACTTGATATTGGAAAGCGAATGTCAAACTATCTCAACTCACCCACGGCGGGAGAAGTAATTAGATGATTTTTCCCCTCAAAAACAAAAACCACTAGGGCATTGAACTCATTATTTCACACTCAATAGTGGTTCTTAAGATCACTAGAGCTACCAACATCCATTCAAAAACTAAATAAGTAATTGGTTGAACCTTAATTATGGAACTGTGTCAGTGCCGGATTTATATTGTTTATAAGTGTAAGCCACTTTTTTTCGCCGCCCCAAGTTCCTACTTTCATTTTTGAGGAAAAATCATCTAATGTCTGCTCCCGCCTTGGGTCAAGCGAGTGGTAATGTCGGTCTCTTGCTGACTAAAAATCACCATGTTCCTTCTGCTCTTCAACCCGGAGCCCCGGCAACCCGTTAGGCCTTACGCGACTCAAAATCGATGAGAGCCGCACTGCTATCATCTATCACTCACTAGGTTTCGATAGAAATGAGTTTATACAAGGATTTGTTTAAAGTATAAAAAACCGTGATAAAACTAGTGAACGTGTTTGACTTTTATCATCTTAACTCGTCGAGTACCGTATTTATAGACACAATTAAAGAACAATAGCTTGTGGTCACCGGTGACCGCTTGGTGTTTGACAGTTTAAATCGAATGAACGTCCTCTACAATCTGACGCCCCTAGGACGCTGCCGCCCCTAGGCCGCGGCCTATACAGCCTATTTATAAATCCAGCACTGAACTGTGTATTATGGTGAATTATGTTTGGTGGCTTACTAACATAACTGTTTGATAAAGTTGGGTAACTTACGCCTGAATACTGAAAGGTTACTCAATTTTAAATTGTAGTTAAATACCATGCCATCTCTGTCATTTTACAAACAATTTGTTGAGACAGAACTATACTCTTGCATACTTAATATTTGGGTGTTAACTAGGTAGTTTTAACCCGTTGAAATTCAACCCCTAAATTTGTTCATACAAAAGTTGTCTCTAAACATTGGAAATAAGGTCTATAATGTAGTTTGTGGAGAGCAGTCACCGGTGACCGCTTAGGGATATATGGGTTTAGTAAGTGCTGTGAAGGCCTACATTCAGTATTGTTTTGTTTAAAAAATAACTTACCCATTTCATCAATTTTCTGCAACTCCTCTAAGATTTGTGTTGGATCTTTCATCTTAAGTACAGCGGCTCTCACCATCTGTCTCTGCCGTTTGTTCTTTTTTAATTCTTTTTTCCTTGCCTCTTTTCCTAATTATTAAAGAAATAGAAACATATTAGAGCCATTTATTTTATAGTCATCAGTTATAATAAAACTGGTAAAAAAACTTATTTTTAATATGGTAATAATCAGCAATTTCATTGCAAATGTTAAATGTTATAAAAATGAATTCTTCCAACAAATTGTTACGATTATAATTCAGAAATTATATAAATTATATAATTATATAAATTATATAAATTATATAATTATATAAATTATATATTAATTACATAATTATATAAATATTGAATATGCAGCTATTAGAATAAAACTAAATGTAGAAGGATTTTCTGTACAACAATACAATTTATGTAAACCAATTGATTGATTGATTGATTGATTGATGTTTATTGTACTAATTGATTGAATCTGTATTGTCCGTTTGCATTGTAGACTTTATACTTTAGATTAATTTTAACCAACAGGTTCCTAAACCAAATAAATTTGTATTTAATAAAATATATGAAAATATAACCAATACTCACTTGCTTGATCCGTGGGATTCATGTATTTACCACTCTTAGTGGTATTTATTGATCGGCGCCCCATCTTGGCAGTTATAATTTACCTATAAACTAAATAAATATCCCTTTACATAAAATTATTATTGAATAAATGAAATTGTTTAAAAATACAACGCAAGCGAGAACGAGTCAAACGCTTTGTCGATATTTTTGACATAACAAACACCTGGGTTACCAGAATTTGAAAAGTTAATTATCTCCCAGAAATTAAAAATCAGTTCCCATTATCCACATTAATCAGTGTATTTGTAACGTCGTTTTTTTTAAATGATAAACAATCATAAAATTATATGTGGATGTTTAATCAGTATGAAATTAGAATCAAATATAAAATAAAAATTGAAGAACTGGAGCTCCATTTAGTTCACTTCATCGTTGTCGTTGTGGTGAAGATGTCAACAGCCTTGGATACCACGACTTGTCGTGTAGCCGTAATGCGAGCCGTTTTGCTCGACACGCAAATACTAATGACATAATTCGTCGAGCTCTAATCTCCGTTGGCATGCCAGCTACTTTAGAACCTAATGGCTTGGTACGCGACGGTAGCAAGAGACCCGACGGTATGTCATTATTCCCTTGGAGGATGGGTAGGCCTTTAGTATGGGACGCCACTTACGTTGATACTCTGGCGCCATCTCATCTTCCAACCTCAACGTGTCGAGTCGGCGCTGCCGCTGCTGCTGTCGAGAATCTCCAACGTCGAAAGTATCATAGCCTGATTGGCAATTATGCTTTCGAACCGTTTGGGGTTGAAACTTTAGGGCCGTGGGGCCCAAGTGCACCATCTTCTTTACAAAAATATTGTAAGGAGGATGGTTGCACTTCAGGTGATCGAAGGGCTGGCTCTGACTACTACCTTGGGCGAAGATTAAGCATTGCCATTCAATATGGCAATGCTGTCAGTCTTTTGGGCACCCTACCTCACGATAGCGATGATAAAAATGTTTTTTTATGTCTTAAGCCTAACGTAACATTTTTTAAGGTGTGAATATTTAAGTTTTATATTATTAGTATTTTAGGTTGTATATATTTATCCATAATTAACTTATTTACGTTTATTATTTGTAAATAAAAGGTTTAGTATAAAATTAATTGTTAAACAATGTAAGCATTTCATTTCAAATTTTCCAATACCGTGTGTTAAATGCAAAACAATAAGCGCAATCAAAATAAGTAATAGATAAAACTTATATATTTTTATTTATGTTTTATAATTTGTATATTATTGTAAACTGTAATTATTACGCGTGCAAGGTTTAAAATGCATCCACATTTTGGGGAAACCTCAAATTAGTGGCAACCCCAAAAGAGAAAAAAATTGACATAATGAACTTTTAAATATACTTCGTGGATTGGGTATTTACAATTTTATCAATATGAACTCTTGCCCTTTTGCCTTCCGTAAGTGCAAGTAAATAAATAAAAACATTTTTTTATTAGGTAGTCATAATAGATATTAATAAAATAAACTAACACAAGGATACACAATTTCAAGTCTCTTCAAGTTATTACGTACCTATCTCCAAAAACTATATATTATGATAAATGTTGATATATTACAAGTTGTATCGTTGTCGGTGTTTATTATTATTATGAAGTATTTATTACATAGGTACACCTATTATATGAGGTATTATACGTAATATTATTTAATTGTGAAAGGCTACCTTAAACCTACCGCAATATTATAATAATTATGTTAATTAATTGTATCTACATCGTTACAAATTAATTAAGTACCAACCAAATTAACTAGATAAAATTAGATGATTTGCTGTTTAAAAATGATCTGAAAATCTATATTTTTAATACCTATTTTACTAATTAGGTTGCTATAGTATCTAATAATTTATCTATTTATGTCATAAACAGTCGACAAATAATAATTTTAACAATAGCACAAACTTGTAAAAATAACACACTTAAACTAGTTATTTTCTATTTTTAAAAACTTTTCAAAAGAACTAACGTGACCTAACCGGAAATTAAGCGGCATACCTATCCAACCATTCACATTATCATCTATGAATGGTTCTACGTACCGATTGTAAGTGCAAAATTGTAAAAGAATTTAATTAAAGTTCGAATGTTATCGGGCTGTTTCTCGAAGCAATGACCGAGCAGCATAATGACACAGACTACAGCTACGCTACGAGTACCTAGCGTATCGTACCTTCGTATTTAGTTATGCGAAGAGTAATTTATAGACAGACTCGTATTACCTAGATGCCTACCCAGTATTTACACGTATTTACGCGAGACGGGCGCTTGCTTGTATTCGCGTCGCATGATCGCATCACGTACCTACTACGCTATACACACACACAAATGGATTTTACGAGTATCCACTACCATCCACTACACACTGGTTTCATTCATATACCGAAACTAGACATCTCTTTCTATCTCATTCATGCTAAGCGAACGTAAATGTGTGTGAATGCAATGGCATTCCTCACCTACGAAATGGCGTTTGTTGAACCGATTCGCCGCGCGTCGGTCGAAGTCTCGCTCGCTCCCTCGCGCAGTGGCAGAGAACGCGTTCGTTCGAGGCGTTCGACTTTCGAGCGGCGACGTACGCTAGCGTGTATGTCTTCATTATTGATGCAAAAGTTCCACGATGGTAGATCATAACCAGAAATTGTTACAGGAGTTGCAAAAGAAAAGTGGAAATAATGTTTGTGCCGATTGTGGAAATCTGGGTATGTTGTTATTAGTGATTCATAACAATTTTAGTGATAGTGTTTTCCGTGTGCGTGGTATTTTCATGGGGTGGTGAATAGGCGGGGGGCGTAAATGCGTCCATGCTTTGGAGTTCAGTGACCTCGACGTAAAATGCATTCAATGAAAACAAATCATCGACCAGCGCATTTTATGATGATTCAAAACATGCAGATAAGTCAGTAGTAAGGATACAATCAGTGATGTTTGTGAGATTATGGCTATCACACACGTATGAAATGTTTCAATGCTAATTGAAAATTAATTTCATGTGACCACCAATGGCAGCCAATAATGCGTTATTCTATTTTGCAAAATGCTTTACTGTGCTTAGTTTATTGATTAGAAATAAAAACAAACCAATTTTTGCTATAGACTGTGCATAATGTTGCAATCGCAGTAATGTGTATTTCTGCACAAATTGGCAAGAGTAAAAGTAATCAACATTAATTGAGAATATGTTATCTGCATGCACATTCACTTGTTTAAAATAAAAAGATATCAGTATCTTCGTAGAATGTGGACGAATGTTTTATAATAAATAGGTACTTAGGCAGGACTGGCTGTGTAGTATGAGTCATAGGTTCTGCCCTAGGTAGGTCTGTATCCTTGACATGCAATGCAATTTCTCCGACTTGCACAACTTTTCCTTGATTTTTGTACTGTATTATCGCAACGATTTCCCTTTATGTACCTAGTTGTTTATCAGTATTGTACTACCTATAAATTTATCCTAAGAAATTAGGATGTGAGCGTCCGCGTTCGTGTGAGTGTGACCTAATTTTACATTTCAATGTCTGTCTATACTGCGCGGCGTATGTTCAAACTCCTCTATTCAGACTTGCAAATTGCTCCGAGATCGTATGGTTTTGGCAATGCTTAAATAACTATGGATATTCGGGATTTAGGTACCTAGTAAATACCGTAGGAACTTCGGAAGTTATCTAATCCGTATAAATAAACTACTTAATTGCAAATGGGTCACAGATGTTTCATATGATTAATATCTAGTTACATAAAAGTAAACAGCCAGTAGGTCTCCGGTGCCTAGTTTAATCTTTTCGACCTAATAGCTAGAGAACCTGCCTAAGTGACTATGAAGTCATGATTATTTTCGATACTTTTACTAGGTAGTTGTATTATACACGAAGGTAACCATTTATTAGAGCTGCTGCTTATACCTAGTCAAGAAAAATCAAATACAAATATTGAAGCCACAACTATTTAGGGAAACCATTAAATGCAAACCTACCCTCGTCTATCTAGCTAGATATTTGCAGGAGACGTGGGTAAATTATCGCAAGTTTTAATAATTCGTAACTAATAAAAAAGAACGTAAAAGGAGTCCTACTTTTTCTTTTTTTAAGGGGGCACAATCATCGAATGTCTTCTCCCGTCTGGGTGAAGCGGGAGGAAGTGTCAGACTCTTATTCACTAAAAACCTTAACAAAGTAAGAAGTCCTTAAGAACCCTAATACCAACGGGTACTTATTGCGATTGCTATAGTCTATTGCCCCCCACAAAAGCAACCTAAACAATGATTAGCTGATACTAAAATGGCTATTGTGTCATCGTTAATTACCAACATAAAGTTGTTGACACAATATTTCCTTCATGGTTACGACATTTTATAACTATTGGAGGAAAATATTGTTTTCCAAACTGTATTACCTATTTGTTCATATCCAACAATCCCATATGGTTTCAACCTAGCTGTTATTTTAGTAAATTATGACTCACGCATCACGCCAGGTACCTAAGTCCCATCATATTATGTGCTAGGTATATTTTCATAGAAATAATCATTGTGTTACTTAAAAATTTGGCAATCTCGTTTAAAATAAGTATCTATACAATTATTGGGAACAGTTGATTGCGTGTGCTGTACGATGTTGTTTATTATACTAATAATTCACATCAATTTGACTATCGTCTGTTTAAAAATGGTAGTTATAGGTACATAGTTATTTACATTACAACCAATTTTAATCCTGTTTTTACGGATACAGAAGGTACTTAGGCGGGAAGAAGGGGCTCCATAATAAATGCTTAATTAAGACCGGTTTTTACAGAATTCAAATTACAAGAAGCCGAGGGGAATATTAAATTTTGACCATTGACTAATTATGAGCCGAACGAAATGAAACAAAAACAAACAGAATTAAAATGAACGAATTTCATTCGGGCCGTACCTAATTTAATTATGGGCCCTACTTTGAATAAACTAGCTTGTTATTTGCTAATTAGGAGTTGATAATGCGTATTTACGAGGTGTCAAAGCTCTTGAAGTAGGTTTCATCATTAGTTTGGTACAATAAAGATAATAACAAATTGGGCACCGATGCGCTTAGTAAAACATAATTATAAATAAATTGCTTAAGTAATATAAAGATAACCTTGATTGATTAATGAGCGTCCACAGCTGTAAACTGATAGGTAGCATGCGTTCTTCACGCTTTTCTCAGGTATAGGAAGGACCTAATTACTGTAACTGCGTATTTACAGAGATAAAGTTCCAGGTTTTTTGGCATTATGAAATAGGAAAGACTGCCAGTTAATTTGACGTGTCCAAGTATTGAAACAATGGTGATTGGCTTCTAACAGGTATCCCAAGTCTTGTGACATAGCGTTATGTTATTTACGTGTGGCGCAGAGGCCAAATGTAAGTGTGTGCGTGCGGCCGTGTGACGTCGTGTCGGTGTGTTGTGTATGCTTATAAACACGGATATGATGAGAAACGAAAATGTGGAAACGCCTATTTCCACCAAACTGATTTTCAAATAAAATCTATTTGAATGTAAATTTTATATCGCAGACAGCTCATCAACTTTGCGGGGTTCAAGTTCTATTTTGAGTTGGACCATCGCGAAGTACGTTTTTAGTGGTGGGGACTTCGCAGAGAGAGGTGCACGACACGTAATCATTTCATTCATAGGTGAATAGGCGCATATTGCCAAATGTCGTGTGGTGGTAAATGACTAATAGTTAGTGACAAATGCGTACCTAGCTACCCACCTTTTTGTTGTAGTGCACAATAAGAAACAAATACCTGTTACATATTTGCATACCTAGGTAAATACGCACGCCTATACACCTATTGAGTAATACGTAGTTACGTATATTGAGTAATTTCTCGATTTTTCACGTCACTAGTTAATTTAATAACCATGTTTTGCACAACGCAGACGTCATTCAGTCAGGGTATTATTTTATTTAATCTATGGTGTGACGATTTGCTGAATTTCTTATCGTAGGTAATAGGTAACTATCGGCAATTCGACACTTACGCACATAGTTATGATAAGTACAGTTTTTTCTACTAATTTAGGAAGGTACTCACCTATATCGGAAATTTCATCAAAATAGTGTAAACACGATTAACTTAGCACACGTAGCTGTTTCTTACGTCAATTTAACTTTTGATTTTATTTCTAAGTAGTTACTCAAGAAACCAGTTGATAACGAGATACTGTTGATGACGATTTATAAGGCATATATCAGTCATGAATACGAAAAGTATAGTCTGAAAGTCGAAGTGAAAAAACATAATAACTAACAGGGGATCGTAAGAATGATCAACTGCTCTTTTAAAGCCATGCCCTTTAAATAATCGTTAAACATTATATTGAAATAATCATAATAATCATAAATATCTAAATAATATTATAACTTAATCGTCATAACAACACAGTAAACGTTAACTCATCATTCAATCTATCTCCATCCCCTATTGGACCACAACGTCTTTTTTTTTAAACCACGACAGTGGCTTTTTGCTGCGTTGGACATTCATTATCAGTTAACTAACTAGGTACTGATGTACTGTGCCTAATATCATCATCAAAAATCAATCAAAATGAAAAAAATATCCAACATTCATCATGAGATACCTACTTGGCTGGATATTTTTAATCATAGTAGATTAATAAGGTGATCTTTAAACGTAAACATCTTCAAATGAACTTTTGCTAGGATAAAACGCTTACAAATGAAGACAGTCAGATTATTAAATGCAGTCAAACAAAATGACATAAAAAATTCACTGGCAATTTTAAAAATGATAGTGAAGGACTATCAATCAAAGAAAAGAAGTCTTGTTTTCTAGCATAGTAAAACAATACCTTTGCAAAAGAAAGGGTTTATTTTTTTTATTAGAAAACATACCTTATTCCAGTACAGTTAACATACATATTATGTAGGTAGTTACATACTAAAACAAATGGGTACCTTGTTTGTTTACCTATAAGAACTGTAACAGAGAAAGTCATTCACCCGCAACCATACAGTAGTTTCAAAGTGTGACGTTTACAAACAGACAAACAATGTGAAACAGTTTTAGCTGTTTCCATGTATTTCGAAATGTATTTAAATATTTTCCTCCTTTATAAATAGTTTGGTTTATAGATTACTAGCTGTGCCTGCGGCTTCGTCCGTGTGGAATAGTGATCAGCTCCTCCCCCGTAGGTGATAGCGTCATAATATGTAGCCTATATGTTGACATATTCGTGGAAATTTTGAAGTAGGTAAATCCATGCAGTACCTTTTGAGTTTAGCCCGGACATACGTACAGACGAACAGACAAAAATTCTATAAATTCTATAAACCATATTTTTGGCTTCGATATCGATGATAGATAACGATGATAGATCTCAAATATTCTTTTAAAAAAATAATCAATGTACAGTTTTCACTTTCTTACGATTTTATTATATGTATAGATTTTATTCGATGATGAATGTGGTCCACATGATGTGTTGTTTTGTGATGTCTCAGTCCAGCTTAGAAGTAAAACGTAGAAGGGATTTTATGGACTAAATGGGCTTTCGTCTAGACTGTACATTTGATAAACCTTTTTGAGGACAATCATAGCGTCACGTTGTGGCATTTTGAGTATGCCATCGAAATGGGGAAACGTAAACAGTTGCACGATTATTTAATGACTAGGAGTAATATTGTTGTGAGTCATGATGCGTCAAGCAGTTAAAATTTGTTTGACGTTTATTACTGTTATCCTAACGGGGTTGACCCGACTATAATTAGGAATATAAATTCGTATAGTAAACCCAAACATTAAAGATCATAAGTCGAGGTGAGTATAAATGTACTAAGAAGTGTAAATTACGCAATAACTGGCCGTAATCTTATCGATTTATCATTATCTTGTTATTAACAAAACCACAAGACGTTCTAAGGTTGTAAACATCGTCGACATGCATTTGGCGGGAGTTTCGCGGTTCCATTTTCAAATGTTTCTTTTTTTTCAGACCCAGATTGGGCGTCCTACAACCTCGGTATATTCATATGCATGCGTTGTGCCAGCATCCACCGTGGCATGGGCGCCCACATAAGCAAAGTAAAACACCTCAAGCTTGACCGCTGGGAGGATTCTCAGGTTCAAAGAATGAAGGAGGTTGGTAATAATGCAGCGAAGAACAAATACGAGGAGAGAGTCCCACCGTGTTACAGACGACCGAATAAGAACGATCCACAGTAAGTATAGACAAAATCTTTTCGTGCTGGGGTAGTCGCTAAATGGCCAGAATCGGCTTAGTCATTGTCAAATGTGGAGTGTCTGCCGTCCCCTTTCATACACCCTTAGCGATGATACGACATTATTGGACCCGTTGTCCGATTTCTGTCTGGTGAATCAGCTTTGCGTGTTTTTCGAGGTTTGAAGATTTGTGTTTCAATGACTAATTTCAAAAACCGATCGTAGTTGATTTAGTTTGACCATGGGAGTTGGTCTACACAGCCAGTCAACCAAGAACTCTGGCCGAACCCAAATATCACCACAACAAAATAGCCTATGAGTTCAAAAAATAAAAAATATGTGCTTATCTTATTTTTTAAAGTAACCATGACCTTTTTTGATATTAAAAGTCTGTACTATATCTATATCTTAATTTAACTGATGTAACTTTAAAATGATTTTGAAGACAGATTTAATCTATTTCGCAAACCACCTATAAAGTTATAATATATATATTTCGTGTGGTACATCTAGTTTAATATGTATATTGTATAGACTACAAAGTGTTATCTTGGAATAGAATCCCTTATTGCGGTCTTGCTAAAAATAGTCTCGATATCAAATGACTTATGCTAGAACAAACTAACTAAGTCCATAGTTTATTTATAACTAAATTAAATAAATTCAAACACTGACGGCATAATACTTAAATTAGTATTTTTAAAACCCACAAGAATTAGTCATAAAATGTATTAAATAAATTAGAGCAATGACTATGTCTATTTCCATTCTAATTTAATTAAAACTAAAATAACGCTGCCGTGAATTGGTATTTTAGTAATGGGAGGTTAATACCTGCAAAACATTACCTATAGACCTAATTAGGGTATTATACTATCTGGTCTCTAGAGGGTCAAGCCTGTGAAAATGATACCTAGTAAAATCCTATAAATGCGAGTATGTTTTTTTATATTAAAAATAACTTTGCCCCTCACTACGATTTTCTCCTGTGTCGTGGGTGCGTTTACAAACATACAAGTTCACATGCACATGACACCCAGACCCGGAACAACAATTTGTGGATCACACAAAGTGTTGCTCCGTGCGGGAATCTAACCCGCGACACGTTGCGCGACAGCCGGTTGACCAGCCATCGCAACAATCGTATTTGAATCAAATAGTGTTTGTTTGTAACTTCTTCATGTCAAATCGGGTGAAGGGATCGAGATGAAATTTGAAACAAGGGTTGATAATGGTCTGGACGGTATACACATAGGTCGGCCATACTATTTTTATTGCAAGGGAACGCGGGCACAGCAGCTACTAGTGATACTATAATAATAACTACATAGTATGAATAGATAGACATACATAGTATAGTAAGAATAAAATCCAGGCTACTTCTTTCGCCTGAAGAACCTAATAATATGTATGTAGTTGGCTGTATTCTATTTATTTAGTTGTACACAAAAGTAGTTGATACTAGTGCCAAGACTCGTAAATCATAACACGACTTGTCAATAATATCAAAACTTGACCTACATTCGTTTTATCTCTCCCATAGCGTAAAACGATAGGCCGGAAATAAACTGTTTATTAAATGTTTACGCCGTTTAGAAATATGTTTCGGTGTTTAAAACCAATATTTTGTTTAGAAAGTCGTGTTAAATGTCCGCTGCTACTAATATAAGGAAACTCATCTTTTTCCTATTGATCGAGTCATACTTTTAAATAACATGTCTATATTTTGTATGCCTGTGTGTATTTTATCGACATTTGTCCTTTCCTAATTGAACTATTACAAAAACAAGATATAACAATTTTCAGAGTACTGATAGAGCAGTGGATCCGTGCAAAGTATGAACGTGAGGAATTTTGCCATCCAGAACGTCAGAGTTACCTCTCAGGTACCATGGAGGGATTCCTCATGAAGAGAGGAAAGGAGGATAGCCGTTACCAGCTGAGGAAGTTCGTCTTAAGTGAGAATGAGGACACCCTTAAGTGAGTCAAAATGTATCGTTAACTGAACATAATGACACAATTACATTTGGTCGTTGGCCGCATTCAAACATCGATTCGCCGAAACACTTAACCCTGCTCGTGCTAACGTAGTCGCTCGCGCTCACTCGCCGAATAAGGCCGCGTACACATGCGCATACAAACCCATAATCCAGTCCAAAGAATGCGGTGGAAATGACCAAATGCAATCGCCATGTTTATTATAAAAGCTTTCTGTGTAAGATAACAAGTTACGTCGCATTTTGTTACTAATATAACGCTCGTGAACGTCATTATCACTCGTCCTAGCTATTTTGTTCGATTACTTATGTCTGCCTGTTTATATTTCTATAAATATTATTTTCATACATCAGCTTACATTGGCTTTAAATCATTGTCAGATTCAAAATTTGTCGTTCATAAAGAAAATTAACACCTGTACCCATCTCATTAAACGTTCAACGGTCAACGTAATGACATAGGTAATCATAATTCTCGAACAGTATTAGGTGTGTCTTCACTGGAATATCGTCACAACAAATTATCAAAACAGGAAAACGAATGGACGTATGGTCGTTTGGTAGGACCGCAAAAATGTTAATATTTATAAAGGTGCCGAACCGTTCTATGTATTTTAGGCTTTTACAGACGCAGACCTCTATCTGCAAATAGACGAGTATTGAAGTATTTAATAATAGATTTTGTTTAAATAAGAAGTAGTGCTATTATTATCGGTAAATAAGTAAGAACATATACATCGTGGTATATTTAGGCAGACAAAGCTGATAAACCACATCCAAATAAAGCGGTTTCAGGACAATAGTTACTTTCATAAATAGATATTTGCTTCGACACTCTAATGACGCAAAATCTAAATTACACAGTAATGAAATAATGAGCTATTTTTGTACTTGTTATGCACAGTACATTATTTGTAAATGTGTTAAGTTGTTACATATCAAACAACATAATAAAACTGTCACTGGTTGATGAAATACTTGAAGAAAATGTCCCAACTCGGTGACGGCGCTTCGTTTATCTCCTGATAAAGTGAGATAAAATCGTTTTCGTTGAAAACAGTAGGTACTTGTGTGACGTACACGAAAACTTCCACACCTCTTATTGCTATCCTACGTCAAGTCTTAAATAAATGTTGACATACTACGTAATTATGGACTCAAAAAATTGTTTGCCACAGTCACTACTCTCCAGTGTTTTCACACGCCAGTTAAAAATTTTGAAGCAAACAGCGTTATGATTTAAGGTCTGAGTAGTTTTAAAATGTATGTTGTGACGTAGTTCCTAATTAAGCTGTGCCTTATTTAATGGACAGTTACTATGGCATGATCAGAACACGTCATGGAACGTTGACATTGTGTTGAGAGATATCCTTCACCTTGCGTTATTAGGTTATTCGACTTCGCTATGTTGTTTGTTAGCGTCTGTTTACTCAAACGATTTGTACATAATATGGCGATAATAAATTAGAGGCATAATTAGGCGTTGAATAAATTAAATCTAACTTCTTAACTAAATCGGTTGAGAAGATTAAATCAATTCATGTAGATTTTAATAACTTACGGCAAGTTACTGCTAGAAGACCTTTAAAGTTACATAAAAGAAATAATTTACTAGAATATGTGCTATGGTTGTTATAGTAAAACACGTATAGAATCGAATAAAATACCTATATACCTAAAGTACACCACATTCGTACAATTTACCTCATTACACGGTTGGTTTTGTGCTGACAAATCGCATTCCTTGGCTACAATCGCCAATGGGTAATCCCCTGACGCATGTTTACACTGAAAAGTGTTATTTATAGCATAACAATATAATTAGTAAATATGTTTTTATAAATTTAAATGTGGAAATAGGTAAATTAACTATAAGTATTTGCAATAACTGCAAAAACAAACGAAAGAAACAAACAGAATACTTGCAAGTTAGGCATGAAAACGGCTGCAATGTTACTTTAAGATTGAATATTTTGAGGTTTATAGGAGTTTGTCCCTTATAATAACGAGCATTAAAGCTAGTTTTTTTCGAAGTAGTTTAGCTTAAACATATCCGGACTGGTTCTTAGGTATCATCCCGCTACTGACGGCTGCGGCCGTACAACTGGTTGTCTCGATCGGTTAATCGATCGTCTCCGCGTCAAAAACTTTGGTCCTTTGAGGTAAGAACGAATGCGAAATTTAAACGAAAATTTCAATAGTATTATTGAACAGTTTACGTCTATCTCGAGTAGGTAAGAGTTGTTGAACAAACGTCTCTATCACCTCATGTTAAGGTCATTTTTCATGTGCAGAATTACCATCAAATCAGTACCATCTGTGTTGCATGTAGTCATATTGTACTTTCATAGCTGAAGATGCTATCAAATTAATGCGGCGTCATAACGTATGTATTTTTTTCTATGGAATTCAGATACGTCTATGTGCACGTGGATAGTATCTAAGGAGTTGAACAGATAGCCAGTGCCAAATCAAAACTATAGCTTCAGTGCGTGATCCTAGACTTTATTTTTATACTTTACATTTTTTTGCATGCATTGAAGCTATAGTTTCTTTTGCGGCAACCTATCCTTTCCACTCCATATTTGATTGTATTCTAAAATGTTTAATGCCTGCAATCTATGTGTCTAACTAAGTGTGCTTGTTGCAAAATATTCATGTTTATGTTGTCGAGTATTCCGAAAAAAAAAAGAAATTATTCGGTCGCCGAAAAAGATCGGCTGTAGTTACAGGGTTGGGAGAGTTCAAGGCGAGAAAATATTCGGCATATATTGCACCACGTTGTGATATTCTGTAAAGTGACGTCATTTTATAGTGTCGGTATTTTTACTAAATAAGAATCAATGTTTAGATTGAGTGACCTATTCGTATTATAAATGTTCGGTAAACTAATAAATGCTGGATTAGCTTAGTGTAGGTGGATAAGATGGTAGTAAACAAGTGTTGATTACAATCAAACGTCACTGCAAGTCGTTTGGTTACAAAGTTCATTAGGTTGATGTGCGGACGCCGATATATACTAGTCAAAACAAAATAAGGGCCACCACGTTTTTATAGTTTCCTCATGAAATCTTGAGGTTTAAGGGTTGATTAATGATTAGATTTTATAAATTAACTGTTTTTTATTATTAACAGCACAAAATGATGAAAGACACATTCCAAAAAAAAAAATTACCATTTTTTCTGAAAAACCAACATTTTTGCAAGCAAAACGTATGAAATCAAAATTAAGTGAAAAAAAAAACAAATCAGATATTGATTGAATTGTAACTCCTCAATGTTTAGTATGCCCTCCTCGTTTTCTAATGCACTCTTGAAGCCTGGATGGTACACTCTCCACCAAGTGTACCACTGTTTCTTGAGGAATTTGTTCCCAGCTTGATTTTAAAATGTTTATTAGCTGTCTTTCATTGTACACGGGTTGGTTTGTGCTTCGGACGTTGCGTTTGAGTAAATCCCACATGTGTTCAATGGGATTGAGATCCGGACTGTTTGCAGGCCAGGGCAGCACCTGTATACCAGCCTCCTCTATAGCTCCTCTGGTGGCCCTAGCTGTATGAGCGCGAGCATTATCGTGCATCAGACGGAATCTTGCGCCGATTCTTTGTGCATATGGGTTCACATGAGGTCTTATGACCTCCTCGATGTAACGTTGAGCTGTAATTGTGCCTTCGTTGAGAATTATCAACTCAGTTCTACTTGATGTAGAGATTCCTCCCCACACCATAACGTTAGGGCCCCCAAATCTGTCACTTTCATGGATACAAGCATCCGAAAATCGCTCACCTTCACGCCTCCAGACCCTGATGCGACGGTCATCACTAAAAAATTTTACTTTGCACTCATCCGTAAACAATACTGTGCTCCATTCACTCATATCCCATGCCAGATGCTGCCTTGCGAACGATAATCGGTTTGCACGATGAGCACTTGTCAATGGTATCCGCACTACACGTCTCCTAGAGAACTGCTGGTCCTCGTGTAACCGATTTCTAATGGTTTGATCACTAACACGTGTACCCGTAGCCTGCCGCAAACGGTTTTGTAAGGAACGGGCTGTGATGCAGCGTTCTCTGCGCGCAGTCAAACGTATGTAGCGGTCTTCCTGTGCGGTAGTTGCTCGATTTCTGCCAGACCCCCGTCTCCTGGTTAGTCTCCCAGTCTCTTGAAATCGATTCCAAGCATTCTGAATTGCTCACCGAGAAAACCCAGCTGCATCGCAGCAGAACGCTGCGAATGGCCTTCTTGAAGTAATGTTACGGCCCTAGTGACGGTTGGTAAGTTCATATAGCGTCGGATTCTCGGCATATCTTTGTTAAAGAAATAATTCAGCCAGAAGTAAAACAAAACTAAACTGTTCTTGACAGAATCGTCAGTTTGACTGAGTTAAAATCCATCTTAAAATCGGGTAAAATCAAGTGGATACAATAAATTATCAAAAACTGCCCACTTTACAGAGTTATGCCTGTAGAACACTTAAATAAATGTTTGTAAACAAATAAAGTAACGCTGTAATAACCATTCAGCTACTTGAGTACGCAGAAAAAATAAATTATCGCTACCGCTGTTAAAAATAACAAGTGGCCCTTATTTTGTTTTGACTAGTATATTTGTAAACAATTAATTAATTGATTGTTACATTCTTGGCCGCTCACGATATCTTGATCGATGTACTTACCTACCACAAATATCTACATTTACTGCATGAAAGGTTATGGGTCTGGGTTGTGGTTGACAATTTAAAAACTTTAAGAGCGGCAATATTCTCGATAAGGATCAAGTATTACTATTTTTTTATGGCTTAAGCTGGTAAACGAGCAGACGGATCACCTGATGGTAAGCAATCGGCGTCGCCCATGGACACCTGGAACACTAGAGGCGTTACAAGTGCGTCACAGGCTTTTTGGGGATTAGGAGTTTGAGGATCGTTGGGGATTCAGGGATTGGGGAGATTGGGGAAGGGGAAGGTAATTGGGCCTCCGGTAACCTCACTCACACGACGAAACACAACGCAAGCGTTGCTTCACGTCGGTTTTCTGTGAGGCCGTGGTATCACTCCGGCATAGTATAAAGAACACAGTAGGTTATCTAAGGCCGCCCGCCGAGTTATTAGCCTACTCTTGCGTTGATCCCCAGGGTTGTCACTTTTACTTTTAGTTAATATTTTCGAACAAGCAGCACTTGATCTAAATTTATGAAATGAAAAGCATATTATGATGGAATATTTTATCAATTTATAAATTTAGTAAAAATAAAAAGCTTATAAAAAGATTATTAACTTCTTAAAATAAACTTTAGCTCTATACATAGTATTCAGAAAGTAAATTTGGGAATACATTTTTATATGAAAAAATGCGACACGGCCACGCTCTTAACAAATCAGACAAACTGTGAAATAAACAATACAATACCACATTTACTAGGTAATTACATTTCTGGTTGAGTAGGAACTATGAAGAATGATAAGAGTAAGAATAAGTAAGTAGGTATCTCAACATCAAGTACCTACAAATTATATTATGCTAGAAAAAGTGACTAGCTTACCTTTCCTGTTCAATAGGTAATCTGAACAGAAACAGTTCTGGAATCGATTAATTATTAAGACATCCAAACACACAGCAATACGTTCTTCTACAACCGTAGAAGAACGTATTGCTGTGAACGTATTGTTGCAATAAAAAATGTCTGATAACCATTAGACATTTTTTATTTCATTTAACAGTGCCGAAAAGTGATGCGCGCGCGAACCTCGTGCAGTGTTAGCCCTGCCTGGCGCACTGAGAAACGGGTCGAGATTTTGTTAAAGTGTGCGTGCGTCGACGCATAGATACTATGGCGCACACATATAAGCCGCGCGCGGAGCATTTGTATGAAGATAACCTACTTTGTTCTTTATACTATGACTCCGGTCGACCCGGCCCATTCGTGCCGAAGCATGGCTCTCCCACACTTAAAACCAGTTAGGAAAAACACTTTTATAGAGTTACGTATTAGAATGGCCTTCCATTGTAGTACTTGATTTATTTCGTGGATATTCAAACTCTTAAAGGTTTTGCGTCTCCATTATTGAAATTAGTAAAGTATTATTACTTCTGTATTGTTTTATTCTTGTTACAAATTGTAAGGTTGTGGTGTAACAGACATTAGCATGCCGAATATGTTCCCGCCTTTTTTAGAAATAGAAGTTTCACAGGTGAATGGAGAGATGTGACTAAACTTCGAACAATTTTCAACCTTGTGTAAAATAGTTGAAGGTTTCTTTTGCACCCTATCTTTTTGTAGGTAAAAGGGTTTAAGGATTTTTAATATATGGTGAAAATGTAGGGTTAGGGATATGGGGTATTCTTAGGTATTTCTTTTAGGTATCTATAAGCACCTGTGTTTTATTATAAGGGGGATTTTTTGGTGTAGTAGACTATTATTTATATAAAGGGTTTTCTTATCTTCAGATACCATGTCAGGGAGAATAAGGAACCTAAGGGTGTCCTCAAACTGTCGGAATTGAACGTGGCGTTTGCTCCTTCAAAGATCGGTCACATGAACTCCATGCAACTGACGTTCATGAAGGACGGGTCCACCAGGCACATCTACGTGTACCACGAGGATCCTGAGGTTATTAGCAATTGGTAAGTATTTTAAATAATTATCGTGAGACATACTAAATTAACTAAAAATCGCGGGTTACTCACGTGAATATACTGAGAAAAGTTCTACTAGTTTCGAACCACGGAGGGGCGTGCGCGGTCGAGGCGATGTCGCGCAGCCTATTGAATAGAGCTTACTAGTGATTTTTAGTTAAGTTTTTTAAAATTGTTTAGAAAAGTGTTCCCTTTGTGAACTTGATATTTCGTTCATAACCTACCGTAATATTTAAAGCATTTTAAAGCGAAAATGAATTAGATTCCCTATTACAATAACAACTGGCGAAAGGTTGAATATGTCTTTTTTAACTCGTCGAGCGTCCGCGTTCCTTATGATCCAACGGGTGCACACGTGACATTTGGAGAAAGAAAGAAAGAAAGGAAGAAAATGCATTTATTTGGCCATTGGCACACGAAACCAAGGATCATTACAATAGAAATAAAAAATACAGTCAAAATAAAAACAAAACATTAATAATAGATTTTATAAAAGAGAAAGCAGCATGGAGCATTTTTTCTTAATATCCACCGGGTGCTCATAAGGACGCTCGAGGGGTTAACCGACTTCAAAAAAGAAGTAGGTTCTCAGTTTGACCTGTATGTCTGTATGTAATGTATTTGTGCGATTATCTCGGGAATGCCTGAACCTATTTTGATACGCTTTTCAGAGAAGCGTTGTTGTCTATAAAAGAATCAAGTAATTTTTTGTTCCTCACTTCCTCTAATTACTCCTTCAGGGCCATATACCTATATCAAAAAGTATTCTAAGAAATTAAATTCCATTGAATGTTAAAGAAACCTTGTTTATGTACTCTCATCTACGTTCCAGTTTCTATCTCACAGATAAATCATTGTAATTTCCCATTTATTAGATAGTTTAGGCCAGATAGGTATGTAATTAAAGTTGTAAAATGAGGCGACGAAATAACTGATAACTATCTAATGGCGCTGGCGCCAACAGCTTTACTTAAAGTACCTATTAGCTGGCAAATTCCATATTTTCCAATTTAATTCACACTTCTATTTAATTAATTTACGTGGGACTTATAAAAAGTGTAAACACAAACGTTGTAGATCTTTTAATTTTTTTGAACTGTGCTTTTGATATTTATTCTGTAGGACCTATAGTTCTTCCGCAAATCCCTATAAACTGTTTTTTTTCTTCTACCGCCCATCTTTTTCCCGACCTCAGTTCGCCCGTGATTTATTTTTACATATTTATTGGGCACTTTTTCTTCCCTTTCTAATGGGTTTCATACTACTACTATTTAACAATATTTCCATTAATGACGTTATCTACCCCGGTCTATTAAAATAATCTATACTAATTACTTATACTTATTTGTAATATATTAAGCTAGAGTTGGTTTGTTTGTACATATTATTAAGCGGGTTTTTGTGACATCTATGCACTTTTACTTGAGTTTCAAATAAACGTAACATTATCTAGGTACCTCTTTTTTTCCGCTACGGAAAACAAATACTTCAAAGCATAAGTTGCTTTTGGGAATAAGATTAGTAACGTCTCTTTTCTACAGAGCTGATGTTGAGTTGTATGATAATTAAAGTGAATAATCAAAATACATTATTGCAATTGAGGGGGTTTTTAGTCATAAAACTATAATTAACCCTTTTCCTTCCGCGGTTGGAGATATGAACTATCAACTCAATATCATGCCACAAAGCTTCAGCTTTAACAAATAGGTCCCTATTTGTTTAAAGTTCAGAATCTGTGCTCAGTGCTATCAATATAAAATCTGTGGATATATGGAAATTGTGTCCGATATTTCTCAGAGGTCGGATCCTGGAGTTTATACTGGAAAGTCGCCACGTAAATCAGAGAAATGTAGACTTTAAAACAACAAACAATAAAGTAGGAACATTAGCAACGCTTATCACCGAATATGTTAATGAATAAAGAGATAACGCACCCAAATTAAATGCGTGCGTGACTAAATGGACACTAAATCTGGATTAACGAGTTGAGAGTGACTTCTGCCTATCCATAAAACAAAAAAAGTCGAAACCTAAATTCGTATATTTAAATAATTATGGAAATACGCCCCAGCCTTGAGAGAGTAGGTAGGTACTTCAAGGAATTCCCATAAATTTTTATGATCTTGATATGTTAATGGAGTAAACGTAACGAATAGTTACCATAAATTACCCTTTTTGCGCGACTACCAAATGGGGGAAGGAGGATGCGCGTGTACGCCTACATGTATATCTAAAACACCTATGTAAAATTTGAAATCGAACACCAAGAGATCGTATTAATGAAAGTCTATTAACATATTAAATGGCTACACGCATACATTAATGTTGTTTGTTTGTAAAAAAATAAAATTACCATGTTACACCGGCACACCTGCTGTAGACAAATATTCCAAAAATAAAATCAAAATGTAGAGCACAATTTAATAATTCAAGCAAAATAAAAATAAATAAGTTCTAGCACTATCTGACTATATACACATAACCTACTTTGTACCGTTATATATCAACAAAAGTCTTCTGCAAATCAAGACAAAAGCTTTATTATTTTTATCGATGCGTTAATTTATTATTATTCTATCATTCGCTATAGATATCCTTACTAATATTATAAATCGGAAAGTGAGTTTGTTTGTTTGTTTGTTTGTTCCACTTTCACGCCGTAACTATTAAACCGTTTGCTTTGAATTTTTGCAGACGTAAAGTTAGAAGTCCGGATTAAATAATAGGGTACTTTTTAACCCGGAAAAATTTGATATGCCCCATGAAAAACAAAAGTATTGGTATAGATGGCGCTGTGTGTATTGGTATTTGTCACATAGGCTATTTTTTATCCTTTTGTGACGCGAGCGAAGCCGCGGGTAAAAGCTAGTATTCAATAAATCAAAGATTATAGAAATGATTATGTTACTCCCGAAAGGATAACAAATGCACTTACTAACGGCGGAATACTGAAAACATTACTCAATTTTAAGTTGAACCTAGGGGGTGAGCCTATTGTCATATACCGGGCACAATTTCAGACTCCGTGCTACTACTGAGAATTAAAAAAAAACCAGTAATACTTTGCCCGACCCGTATGTGTCACATCCAATTTTCACTGATCATGTAGTTATGAAAAATCCTGTTCGCTGATCCTTTTAAACTTCGATTTCCAACCTGCCTTATAAACCGTTAAGATTAAGGCGAACCCCTCTTTTCTAGACGAGCCCCTACGTTGCGGAGAACATAATGGGTTACCGGGGCTCTGGTTCGAAGCGCAGAAGAAGGAACGAGGTGGTTTTTAGTCAGTAAGAGTCTGACACTCCCTCCCGCCTTACCCAGACGGGAGCAGCCATCCGATGATTTTCTCCCCTTAAAAAAAACCCCAATCGTTTCGATAACTCTCATGGGCCATTGATGATGAATTACTATGAAACTTTTCCCTCTATAGGTACACAGCAATCCGCTGCGCCCAACTGCACCTCCTTCAGGTCGCGTTCCCATCAATGCCACAATCGGACTTAGTACTCCGTCTCCCCAAGGACTTCGCTCGTGAAGGCTGGCTGTGGAAGACTGGGCCTCGACCTTCGGACGCTCACCGTCGCCGATGGTTCACCTTAGACAATAGGAAGCTCATGTACCATGATGAGCCTCTTGATGCTTATCCCAAAGGAGAGATCTTTGTTGGTAAGTCATACATTTTCTTTTATTGTTCGTTGCGATGGTATATAATAAATAGGTACAGCATAGCCTCCTAACTAATAGCTAACTCAGTAACATTATTCGACAAGGCGTCAAACTACTCGCCAACAGATATAAAAAAAAATTAAAGACTAAGCCTAAGTTACTTGTTAGTGCGACTCCTGAACATTAAGACTTCAGAAATCACCAGCACTTACGTTGCCCAATAAAGTTTTTTTTAAAAACTTCAAGTAGAATAAGAAAAAAGAGAAAGTAAAATATTGTCCATTAGAAAAGTCTTGTGCTTCAATATCACCACGTAATCACTCGGTAATATTCCCGAACCCTTTAAAACGAACTTTGACCATTCTCAATGACAAAAACAAAACCATAATGACGTAGTACATTTATCTTAAATCAATATCTCCCAACGACAGTAACAACAGAAACTATAAAGTTTTAGATAACAAGTCCACAGACTTTTAACAATCTATTATGATTGTATGAGATATCATATGGGCGTTAAAAACATCAAGTAAAAAACCCCAGTTTGTTTAATTGAATAAACTGAGACGTCTACACTGATGCTAATTGATGACGAGATCTCACAAGACTCGACTGTTGTCACAAATGGTGTTGTTTATGTTGGGAGATTCAAGCGGTTGTGTGTCACTCGGAAAGCTTTTTACAAGGTCATTCGGATGTTTCTAGTTTAGTTGAGCACTTTTATTAACTAACTTCAAAGAGTTTGAGCTTTCTCGTTTCTTTCTCATTGTTTTCAAATGACTTACGGGTTTCCCTATATAAATTACTATTTCCTTTACCGATGTACCGCTATAACGGCGTGAAACAACGCAAAGCGTGTGAGTGGGGTTACCGGAGGTCCAATTACCCCCCTCCCCAGTCTCCCCAATTCCCGAATCCTTCACAATTCTTTAACTCCCAGTTCCCAAAAGGCCGGTAACGCACTTGTAACGCCTCGGTGTTTCAGGTGTCCATGGGCGGCGCCGATTGCTTACCATCAGGTGATCCGTGTGCTCGTTTACCGGCTGATCCAATAAAAAAAAAATACAGCTGAGTGTTGGCCAGATAGCAAACTTCTGTGCTGTTCTTCATCCTCATCTGGATAGGAGTATTAGAATGGAAATGCCATACTGATAACACCCCTATTTAGGAAGTTTTAAATCCTAATGGTGACGTCCATTATCTTTTACAGCACTTAAAGATAAACATACTTTATGAGTAGAAAGTACCGAAAAACGTGAAGGAACCCAAAGCAGTATTAAGGTACCAGTTTAACAAAGACAAAAGTTCATATTAAACCTTTTTTAACATTCTATCCGCAGGTCACGAATCCAATGGCTACTGCATCAAAGTATCGAATACAGGCAACGGTTGCAAGGACGCGCGGTTTCCCTTCCAGCTGGTTACTCCCGATCGAACGTACTGCCTCGCCGCCACCACACACGAAGACCGCGACGGTTGGCTCGCGGTCATACAACAGACAATCAAGAGGCCGCTTACACCACAGGATTCTACCAGTGAGTATTCATTCTAAACATTGGACTTTGTAGACCCCCCATAAGGTTGACTTTAAGTTGTAATGAGGGGGCTTTAATGCTGGTTTATGTAGAGGACCCGGCGCCCCCTTATAGATTGTGACTTAGTGAGACAAAATTCCCACACTTTCGAATCTTCCTCCCCAAAACCTAGGCTCCAAAAAAGGATCTATAGAAAGGAAACGCGTATGTATGTACCAGAAACCGCACATGGTCCTTTGATGCTAAATTAGATACTATTTAATTTGAATTAAAAGCCTAATAACAGTAAAACTGCTTTATAGTGCATATATTAATTAATTATGGTATTTTTGAGAATGACATTCAATTTATTAATAACAGTTCAACTCTAGAGAAAAACGATAAGGAAAGCATGATCAAATGCTAATAGGAAAAAACCAGTAGAACAGTTACCCTATTAGTTTATTTGTAACGTTATTAAATAAAATAAATCAATGACTCAGACAACGTTAATATCATGTTTTCATGAAATTCATAAAAAATAACGATTGTTAGTAGATAAAGTAATTTTAAACAATAACATGTAATAGTGACTCCAAAGTTCGCGTATTAAAGGTACCTAATTGGCTCAGACACTATTTTTAAAATACATAGTAAAAACTAGTTCCGCTCCATACCCCAGTACTTTGAACTCTCGTCTAATTTTAGTTCAGTGCAAAGTTTATTTTGCTCTGATTCTGGAATTGTTTATATCTAACGACGAGATAATACAGAAATAGCCTGATATGCTGATAATACGAATGTATTCTCTCTGACAGTTTCTTATGTATATACTCAGTTTATTAATAACGTGTAATGAAATATTATAAGTCTGTAACTGTTTCACTTCTGGCTAAATATATCCATTTTTGCACGCGGAGATACTCTTAGAATTGACTATCTTTCCGTGCTCGAATGGGCCGGCTCGACCGGAGCGATACCTACCACGGCCTCACAGAAAACCGACGTGAAACAACGTTGCGTTGTTTCACGTCGTGTGAGTAAAGTTACCAGATTCTCCCCCGTTCCCAATCTTCCTAATCCCTGCATCCCCACCAATCCTCAAACTCCTAGTGCCCAAAAAGCTGGTAACGAACTTTTAATGCCTCTAGTGTTCCGGGTGTCCATGGGCGACGCCGATTGCTTACCTTGTTTATAAGGTTATCCGTCTGCTCTTTTAAAGGCTTATTCCATGAAAAAATCCCAAATTCACATTGGTCTGTTTTTCATGTATAATGCTGTTATCAAGTCTGTTGATGATCTTCATAAAAACTCTTTAATGAAGACTCAATTTGAGACAGTATTGTGATTTCGACTAGTCACAAACACGTCTCAAAGCACACGAAACTACGAACTCATCGGTTTGTAATAGATAAGATAGGATTCTTACCTAATGACACAATTGTTTACGTCTGTGTTTGTAAGATAGAATAGACTATATTCCCTTTCCTGAACTTGCACGGTTCTTACACATAATGTTTTATATTTGTCTGGAATTCTGGACTTTAAAATAGCGACGGACCTCTGCGTTTGATTCGGAATTTCTTAGAGTAGTCAGTTAGGAAATACCGACTTTATTTAGTATTAAATAAAAATTACTATAATTAATGACTGCCCCGTTGGCCGAGTTGTCGCAATTGCGACTGCCGGGCAAGGGGTCTCGAGTTCGATTCCCGGGTCGGGCAAAGTATTACTGGGCTTTTTCAAAAAATCTCAGTAGTAGCACGGAGTCTGGAATTGTGCCCGCTATATGGCAATAGGCTCACCCCCTATTACATGGGACCCATAACGTAAATAGTGAAAAGTGGGTAGTACATCGTACAGTGGCATTAAGTGCCGTAGTGTACACCTCTGCCTACCCCTTCGGAGATAAAAGGCGTGATGTTATGTTATGTTAAAAAAAATTAAACGATGCGACGTAGACTGTTGTTTTTTAGCCAATTTGCACAAATAAATTAACTTATTTCACTTGTTTGGCTACGTATTTCAGACTAGAAAGCGTCCTAAACGATAAAACTATCCTTAAATTCTTAATTCCGAAAAGGCCGGTAACGCACTTGTAAGACCTCTAGTGTTTTGTGTGTCCATGGGCGACGCCGATTGCTTACCATCAGGTGATCCGTCTTCTCGTTTATCGGCTTATTCCATAAAAAAAACTTTATAAATGAATGGCGTTAAGTCTGCCCTATTTATCTTATTTTTGTGTGCATTAAAGAGAAAATGAATGTTTTATTAACTTTTCATGTTTTTCGAATGAACGGTCAAGGTCTTTCGTTCCCTTGAAATGACGATAACACGTTACTAGTTGTGCAATATTGTGATATATAATAAACTAGCTTTTACCCGCGGCTTCGCTCGCGTCACAAAAGGATAAAAAGTAGCCTATGTGACATATACCAATACACACAGCGCCATCTATACCAATACTTTTGTTTTTCCTCGGGAATATCAAATTTTTCCGGGTTACAAAGTACCCTATTATTTAATCCGGACTTCTAACTTTACGTCTGCAAAAATTCAAAGCAATCGGTTGAGTAGTTACGGCGTGAAGGTGGAACAAACAAACAAACTCACTTTCCGATTTATAATATATATAAGTAAGGATAGGTAGGTTCTTATATCTAGACAAACAACATTCGTTATTCTTGACGTACTGTGATGAAGAAGCAGTTTACTGTTTGCTTTTATGTGTAGATATCAGTATTTCTTGTTTGTTTCTGTTATTGTATTGGGATATCCATATGGTGTGAAAGAAACCCGTCCGAAAATGTCCTATATTAACTAGTAGTTGGTATAAAAATTAACTTTCTTCGAGCCGATTTTCAAACAACTGCTGATAATCCTTAACCCCTCGAGCGTCCTTATGAGCACGCGGTAGATCATAAAAAAAAATGCTCCATGCTGCTTTCTCTTTTATAAAATCTATTATTAATGTTTTGTTTTTATTTTGACTGTATTTTTTATTTCTATTGTAATGATCCCAAGAAGTCTCGTGTTCGATTCCCGGGTCGGGCAATGTACTACTGGTTTTTTTTAAAATCTCAGTACTATATGGCAATACGCTCACTCACTCACATGGGACTCATAACATAAATAGTGAAAAGTGGGTGTTACATTGTACAGCGGCATTATGTGCCGTAATGTGCACATCTCCCTACCCCTTCGGGAATAAAAGGCGTGATGTTATGTAATTCTTATCTAACCAAAAACCAAAAGTTGTTATTGTGTTGTAAATAACTACAGCAAAACGGAAATATCATAGGGAAAACATAATATTTTTACCACTAACTATGTATACAGGGTATTCCCAAGTCTACGATTAGATACGGTAAATATATCGTGATATAATAATAATAGTTTTCTGTATCATTGCCCCATAGTTACCAAACTGTAGTCGGTGGTAATTGTTACGTAGATTCTACGTCACTGTTGAACGTGACCTACAATCATGACGGATCATGTGTAGTCTATTAACTTGTACCTTCGATAGCCAGTGTAAATAGTGACGTCATTAATACAGCTGGTATTCTCGAAATTTCTAATGGCGCAGTCGAGACAATTACGATTTAGGAACTAGGAACAATTTTATTGTGTACATTCATACATTGCTCTTACGCTAAGTCTAAAAAAACGTATTTAATAGAGTTTATGTCATGCAACGATCGTCAAGCAGAGCCCACGCTGTAATATACATAGATGCGATTAGAACAAACTTAGGCTTAAATGCTGAATCTTTAAATTTTGTTTCATGTAGGAACTTAATGTTCATACTCCTCAGAAGTGCTTCCTTCCTAGTCGTCTTCTTCATTACTGAAGGTCGTGTCTAGTCTGGTGCACGCGTCACTTGATGCACAATCCTCCTCCAAACGCCCCTGTCCTCTGCGGTCTTTATGGCTTGTGGAACTGTCGGGCCGGTTAGGTTTTTTACAGCATCCAACCACCGGGTAGGTGAGCGACCACGAGGTCTTTTCCCGTTAACCCGACCAACAACCACAAGCTTCTCCAGATTGTTGGGGTCTCTACGCGCAATGTGGCCAAAATAAGTTAACTTAGACTTAAGTTACTCCTCAGAAGTAGCAACACCTAATGGAACTTCCAAAACTTTCTGCTACTAAGTAGCACTTTTAATACCCTACAAGAAATAAACGCTGCAGGCGCCATCTATTTCATAATCATAGCTTAAAATAAAATTTGACAGGCTTTATGCAGACGGGGCCTAGGCGCACTCTCTGGTCCAAAAATTTATCCTCGCCTAGACGCTTATTACAACCCCCACAAGCAGCAATGGAGTCATATTATTAGAAGAATTATTTATAGTAAGTTTGTGATAATGTAATTGTATAGAAAGGGTCTTGAGAATTTTTAGGGTAGGTTTATGAAAATACAAGGTTATGTGATGATAACAAATATTGTGTCGGTCTAGAGCTAGTGTAAGTGTCAGAATTAAAAATACCAAAATATCCCTAGAAGACTGGCAATGTATAATTTTCGAAGCAATAAACGTCCCTCTGGTCATGTGAAGAAATTGTTAATTAATTGTTAAACGTTTTGTTACTCACTAGATGGCGCTAATAGCATTCGAGGTTTATTTGTCTAATAGAGAATTATCTGGTGATTGAAAACCACTGTAATTTCAGTAACATATCCCAACCAATGTTAACGCCATCTAGCGAAAGCATCTAGCAAAAATACTTTAACCAACCCTCATTGAATAACTTGAGTTGTTAGTTTCTGTTTTGTAAAACATGTATTGTAATATTTCCAGTTGAAGCCACGTTGGTCCGCAAGCGCACGGCGTCGAACTCCATCAGCATATTCTCGGGCAGGTAGTCGGTCGGCCGCGCAGTTTGCAACCCCTACCACTTCTGAAGTAAGTCAGATGTACTACGTCATCGCCCGCTTTACACGCTGCGTTACGATACGTCATACCGACTGCAAATAATTATTATTAAATTATTATTAAAGAACCTCTAGACTTATTTTAATAATTAGGACTTATTTTACGACGACTCTTGTAAATACAATTATTTTTGATTAAATGATTTTAATCGGTTTATCCATTATTTAATTACGTAATGCTGCGTTTAATTTTATCACTTAGGACTCGATCGGTGTAATCTAAAATGTATACAATTATGTTTTAATTTATTGTATTTAATGCAATGATGGATTTGAATCGATAATTTAAGGCATATTAAATTATACATAATTAATAATTTATGTTAATTTTGTAAGGTTAATAAAGTGTGTTTCTTCATTTGTATCAGTTCTTTTATATCATGGCGGTACGCACAAAATATCAATGTAATAACCGATAATATAGTTTGTATAACTTGTAGCTTGTAATATAACTAAATATATCAATACATTTGTAATTCACTTTAGTGTAACGTTGAAAATCACAACAAAGCTCTCTTAATCATGGTAAAAGACATTCTACAGGGACTTTCTATATGGTGTACCTATAAGTGTAAACAAGTACTGGAATGGAATACCACAATAAACTTAATTCTAAAACTACAATAAATCGTCCATAGCAAAAAAAAAATAGGAACTTTTCAAACAAAATATTTAATCATAAAGCCAGCCAATATCAACTTAGAGAAAATAAAGTACTTTTCTATTACAAATTACAAAAAAAAAGACTTAGTACGATGCCAGCGCCGTCTTTTTTCTGACGGAACTTTGAGGTACTATCCTTAACAATAGCAAAAAAATTATATTAAAAAACAATAATGTTTTCTTGTGGTATTCCCATCACATTGACTTTATAAGGAACGTATATATGACTTGCATCGTATATCGCATTTATTTATAAGTTTATATATAATCGGTACGTTATGTACTTGGTATAAACGTCGTTATAACAGGCGTGGATAATGTATGGTATGCTGTACGCGACACAAGCGATGAGTATGGACACTGTATGTTGAAAGTACTGTAAAGACTGCCGTGTGCTCAAACAAACCTTTACATAATATTTTTTTAAACTTAGTATTCTATGGTAACGACCATGCCACATATAAAGAGTTAGTAGATATTTCAAAAACTAAAGATAAACTACTTTTCAAGTAAATATATTGCGACATTCACGACCGCGCACGCTGCTCATGAGAAAGAACCTCTCTGTGGTTCGAAACTAGTAGAGCTTTTCTCAGTATATTCACGTAAGTAACCCGTGATTTTAGTTAATTTTATTTGTCTCACGATAGTTATTGTAAAAATACATGATTCTTTGCGGAATTAACAGTAAATATATTTTTTTCTTTTACTTTAGTATGGATTTCCGTAAAGTAACGTCTGATTCTATTCTATACTGATGATAGACATCGAAGTATAGAATATAAACTAAGTATCAATTTTACATTATGTATGATACTTTTCCTCCATGTGGCATTATTTTGAACACCCTGCATATGCGTGGTAAAATTATTACTTTTATTGAAACGTAATTTATGGTTCTAGTGTTGCCAGTTGCCATTACGGTTGTTTGAGTACACAGTGGTTAGGCTCGAAGCATTTTTTTTTTGGTATTGTGAATGGAGATCACGATAAATTGGTAATATGACTGAATTTACAAAATAAGTCTTCTAATAAATGTTAAATACGATTGTTGTGATCTCAAAAAAATTTTACTACGTGGTATGGTTTTCATATATTGAAAACGTAAGTTAAAAAATATGCTTTGAGCCAACAAAAATATTATTGTTCTATTAATAGACAGACGATGATATTTTATTTCTTAAGACTATATATTAATTTCTCTACAAGTTGTGCAGTTTGTAAACGATTTGCTCAATATAGACGTTAATTGCGCTAAAAGTTGTAGAAAAATCTCCACTGTATTTTCGTAAGCATAGAATTGATTTTCGAAGCTCATTTTTGAATAGCAATGTACAGAATACAGATACAGATACATCCATCAAAACGAATTGTGTCGCGAAATTCTATGTAATATTTTATTATTAGTGTTCATGTACTGGGTTACAGTAATATGAACCTTATTATGTACTATTTAAATATGTAAATGTATTAATCAAATAGCGATAAACATGCAACAATATTATAGTGTATGCAACTAGCAATGCAATAACTTGAGAAAGTGTAGCGTAGGCTTAACAAATACTCTGATGTATGTTCTTATATATATTTTTCTATAATGGTAGTCTCAGGTTGGATAGGCTTTGAGCGGAGTTGTGAATGTGTTAGTGAAGTTTGTACTTGTGTGAAGTGAATGGTATAATTACCAATGTAAGCAATGCTGTTTTAAAAACATAACATTATTTGCAGGAAAAATACTGGTTGTGTTATGGAATGATCATGTGTCTGTTCATGAGAAGCATTCGTAGTTATAATCGTATTTTTTATGTTTAATGTCTTACGGGTTTGCCCGACTCGTTTCGAACTAAACGGGGATTCATAATCTGAAAATAATCGGAACACGTAAGATGGTAATAAGTTGATCGTTTCATAATGAGACTAGTTAATTTCGACGTAAATGTAGGTGTGGACATATCTCAATAGAAGAATTAGAAAATGCAGCCGCTTATACGAAGGATAGCGAGGTAATCGATTTTACTGATAAAATATTATTTCTAATTAGTAATGGATGGGTGTTATGAATGGGTTGTTTAGGATGCGATGCGAAGGATTTTTACACAGATGAACAAACGTTTAGTTAAATCAAAAAGAGAATAGGTAAAAGTCTCTAAAGCAAATTAGTTCAATGTTCTAAGAAAGCCAGTGTGCTACTGGCTTTCTAGAAAATTTTAAATTAATTTCATTGATTCTTAGAATTCATACTCATATTGTTAAGGGACCTTTTCCAAAGTCTAGCTAACTGTTTGGTAAGAGTATCTAAAATATTTAAAAAAATAAATATTTTTTAAAAGAAAATTAGGCATAATGATCGAGGAATGGTAATTCGGAATAGTCCGAACGGAGTGTTATGAGAATGGAACTTGAAAAGTTTTAGTTTATATTAGCGTGAATTGAAAGCTAGGAGGCTACCAAAAATGTGGTAGAGATAATATTTTATTGGAATGTATACTATATCTGACTATCATTACAGGCGAAAATGCTTTAGTATAGTAAGTGCGAGGAATGAATATGATTCATCTTCATGCGTGTGGCGTGCGAGTGCAGTGCGAGTGTGACTAGAGACTTAAGTTTAGGGAACTATCGGAACTATCATGAACCCGTGTCTCACCGAATCGACACGTAAGCTAATGTCCAAAACATTAATTTAATGAGCAAATAACTTAGACTACAATACTGAATTGTATGTAATTTATACTATGTACCGTATTACAATTTTCTTATCAGGATAGCCGTAGTTTTAGTAATAATATAATTTATATATAGTAAATGGAAAGATTAGCGAATAATAAGCCACAAAAAAGCAATTTGAATGTTTCCTAGATAATGTACAATTTTTATTTTAATATGTTTTAGCTTCGTAAGCTAATTGATGTGTTACTGCCGCTTACCCGTGTACGTAAGTTATGATTGTTTGAACATCATTTAATATCGATTAACATGTATTGTTCGCTTTAGTTGTAAATTTAGTATAATATTATTTCAACAAATTTTACCAAAACATGCCTCGCTTAAGTTTTACATTTATTTTGTTGTAAATAAAAAACGATAATTTTGTAGTGTGCTCTGGCATAATACATACCTATGAATACTTACAAAATAAACTTTTCACCTGCTAGAATATGACTTTCTCTTACCCATCGATACCCACATAACATAACATCACGCCTTTTATCCCCGAAGGGCTAGGCAGAGTGCACATTACGGCACTTATGTCGAAATATTCAAACGCTATTCAATTTTAAGTCGCGTTTAAGCATAGTTCTATCTCCACAAATTCTTTGTAAAATGACACAGATGGCACGATATTTAAGCACGACTTAAAATTGAGTAACGTTTTAGTATTCCGGCATTAATCCCACTACAATGTAACACCCACTTTTCACTATTTATGTTATTAGTCCCATGTAATAGGGGGTGAACCTATTGCTATATACCGGGCACATTTTCAGACTCGTGCTACTACTAAGATTTTTTTAAAACCCAGCAATACTTTGTCTGACCCGGAAATCGATTCTGAGATCCGCGGCGATCTGAGATGCCCGGCAGTCGCACTGGCGACCGCTAGGTCAATGCAGCAGGCAAACCTTGGTTGGACACTCTAAAAATAAAAAAAAAGCAAAATGCTCTATCTACTTTGGTCATATGTATAATTTTAGCTAGACTATCTAAATGACGCTTTGACCAATGAATTGGTTAATTGAAGTGAAAATTAATTTGAATAATACTCTTTGTAATATGTACTTAATTTCTAATCCCTGCTTCAATGTCTGTTTTTATTGATAAATGAAGATGCTCTTAACATACTAGGTATTTCCGTATAAAAACCAGTTTTTTTTACATTTGGTTAAATCTATTTCCTACTTAGGTATCTATAAAAAAGAAAGAAAAATCATCAAGCGGTTTCCGCATTATTTTTTGTAGCGGCAACTATTTTCGTGTTTGTTTTGTCAGGTTCGAAGCGATGTCGCTCCTCGACGCGAGTTGACGCGACGCGACGTCTACTTAGTTAAGTATCGAGTTACCACTTTACCTCAGATGACTAACGAACGCATTCCGGAATAGAATAGTTCGTGTTACTTCGGGAGTTCCGATTCATTGATGTTTGAAAGGCATGTGGGTAACATGCCTATTAAGTAAATATTTCCTGAATACAATTAGAAAGAGTAACACCTACTTCATTTTTTTAAAGGGTTAAGCTGATAAACTAGCAGTCGTATCACCTGATGGTAAGCAAGTAAGCAATCACACACCATCGAAATGGACACCCGGTAATTGGGCCTCCGGTAACATTACTCACACGACGAAACACAACGCAAGCGTCGTATCACGTTGGTTTTCTGTAAGCCGGCCCATCCGTGCCGAAGCATGGCTCTCCCTCACTTAAAACATACACATTACGACACTAGTCTTCTCATTTTTATATAGATTTACCACCTGGTTGTTGACGACGATATAAACCCTAATATTTTATGGGGTTTTCATAGTCGCTGCAATTCAATTATTATTATTAAGGTTATTGACAACGGTTATTAGAGAAATGTGGTTCTAAGTGCTCTAACCGTTTATTACGTTGTTACGATATCTCCTCACCTTCGTATCTACTCTTTAAAGTTAGTAGATATTTAAATATTTCGCAAGATGTAAGCAGATACGTCTGTGATACATTATCCCTTAAAATGCGCTTTGAAGTTTGCAGTGTGTTAAATCTTAATTTAACATCATTAATTAATTTTACGATTTCCAAGAACGTCTCTTATTTAACGCTTCGTTTTTTTTATTATTAAGTTGACAAATTACATCATGACTTCAAGGTTTCAAATGTATTAAAATGACAAAATACTAAATAAATAAGTAGGTAGGTACGTCACTTGCTTATACGTGGAGACTACTTACTGTTTGATATATGGGTAAATAAATACATACATAGGTAGGTATACCTATAGGCTACTCACGTATGCTGAAAATACTCTAAAACATTTTGTTCAATCAAATTGCAATTTACACTACTTTTTACACACTTTTAATAGCTACTTACCTATAGAGTTCTTTAAAATAAGACAAAATATTCGATCGTAGATAATCTTTATTAAATATATTTAATTTAAAATATTCAAAAGAGGAACCGATTAAATATCTCATCGTTCTTCGTAAAATCACTGTTATTGGTTGGTTTACATTCTTTGGTACTTAAAGTCTTTAGTCTATAGTGACGTAACTATAAATGTATGGACATGGGCATACACAAATAAAGAGAGCTCTGCCTCAAAAAGGTCACAATCATGGGCGATAAACGGGTTATAACCAAAGGGGGCTAATGAATTGGGTCAAGGGGGCCTAAACATCTTGCAAGGACCCCAATAGTTAATACACCACAAATTACTCTCAATTCATCATGGTATCAGACGCGTAAGAATTTCTCATATCATTTCTCATTTCATAATAATTATCTTTATAACCGTAGTTACAATATTGCATATTTGCTGCGCATGACTCGTTCGTGTTCATTTCTTCATAGCAACGTTCTTCGTAATCATTTTCGGGGTATTCTTGGTAACCGTCGCAGTGTGTATGACTGTCTTGGGCGTTCTCTCTTGGAGGCTGGACGTTTCTGCTTGAAGAGTCGTTGTTTGGAGGGTTAATATTCCATCGTTGTGATATGGCGCAGCTCAGGGTTCCACCGTGTTGGAAGGCGAAAGGCCAGGCCTGGAAAGAAAGTTGAAAGTTAGATTAAATCAAATCATTATCATCAGATGACGCTCATCGCTAACAAATGAATAGAAATAGATAGGACCGCCCCTTTTTTTGGGGTTGTCATTTATAATTATCGTTTGGGAATCAGTTAGGTCACTGAGAAATTAGAGGATATTGGGTGGATGAGGATGTTTGATGGGTCTTCTCCCGGCCGTTATGTAGTCGCAGTTTCAAAAAATATTCATGGTGACGTAAAAGGTAAATCCATTTTATAATTTATATCTGTGAGGGCTAATGTCCTTACAATAAGGGAACCATTAAGTAATTGCTTGTTTAAAACTAATCAAAAGCATCGAAAACTTAAAATAATGAACGAAAAATGTGTAAGAGACCACCCAATTAGCTAAATATCATATGAATGTTGATCCGTTTATTGCGACATCATAACTTGACCGCACTTTTTTTGTTCAAACAAACATCGTCGGGTTTTTGACGAACAAACATATGTTGAACAAACAAGATGTGGGACAGAGTTATTAGCAGTAAATATTAGAGAAAAATAACGGCACTACAATAATGTAGCTAATAACGGTAATAAAATACACGAATTATAAAAGCCTGGAGTTCTTAGGTACTAAAATCAAAAAGGGATATCTAGACACATTGTTAGATCAAATTCAATGACTAGACGTTAGTTAAAACTGAGCACTAAACTACGAAAGTACTATAGAATAAAAACGTATCAATTATACGAGGCCCCCGGACTACGGACCCCGGGGACCCCCAACATGTGCGTAATCTGAAATTTATAAAAACTTCCCAATGTTTGATTTTATTTCAGTAGTAATACAAAAAATTTACTTCAAAAAACCAAAAACTATAGTATTGATAGGTTACCCACAAACTGATTGGTTGAAAGTCTGTGCCTCATATCATTAATTAACATAAAATTGATTGAACGGACAATATTATTACGAAAATAATTTCAGGAATTCAAAGCTCTTCTATTTCTTATTATTATAAACTAGCTTCTGCCCGCGACTTCGTACGCGCAATCCCGTTCTTTCCCGTTCCCGTTCGTGATTTTCGGTAAAAAGTAAAAAAAAAAAATTCGATGAAAAAGTATCCTATGTCCGTCTCCTGGTTCTAATCTACCTCCCCACCAATTGTCATCCAAATCGATGTAGCCGTTCTAGAGTTATAAGTAGTGTAACTAACACAACTTTCTTTTATATATTCGCTTCTGGCGTTTTTGAGGACGCTCGAAAGTGTACGAGGACGCTCAACTGATTTCGAGGGCGCTCGAAATTGTTCGAGGACGCTCAACTGATTTCGAGGACGCTCGATAGTTTTCGAGGACGCTCAAAAGTGTACGAGGACGCACACCTGATTTCGAGGACGCTCGATAGTTTTCGAGGACGCTCGATAGTTTACGAGGACGCTCGATAGTTTTCGAGGACGCTCGAAAGTGTACGAGGACGCTCAACTGATTTCGAGGACGCTCGAAAGTGTTCGAGGACACTCGATAGTTTTCGAGGACGCTCGAAAGTGTACGAGGACGCTCAACTGATTTCGAGGACGCTCGATAGTGTTCGAGGACGCTCGAAAGTGTACGAGGACGCTCAACTGATTTCGAGGACGCTCGAAAGTGTACGAGGACGCTCAACTGATTTCGAGGGCGCTCGAAAGTGTTCGAGGACGCTCGAAAGAGTACGAGGACACTCGATAGTTTTCGAGGACGCTCGAAAGTGTACGAGGACGCTCAACTGATTTCGAGGACGCTCGAAAGTGTTCGAGGACACTCGATAGTTTTCGAGGACGCTCGAAAGTGTACGAGGACGCTCAACTGATTTCGAGGACGCTCGAAAGTGTTCGAGGACACTCGATAGTTTTCGAGGACGCTCGAAAGTGTACGAGGACGCTCAACTGATTTCGAGGACGCTCGATAGTTTTCGAGGCCGCTCGAAAGTGTACGAGGACGCTCGAAAGTGTACGAGGACGCTCAACTGATTTCGAGGGCGCTCGAAAGTGTTCGAGGACGCTCGAAAGTGTTCGAGGACGCTCGATAGTTTTCGAGGACGCTCGAAAGTGTACGAGGACGCTCAACTGATTTCGAGGAGGCTCGAAAGTGTTTGAGGACGCTTAACTGAGTTCGAGGACGCTCGAAAGTGTACGAGGACGCTCGATTGTTTTCGAGGACTCTCGATAGTTTTCGAAGACGCTCGAAAGTGCACGAGGACGCTCGATTAATTTCGAGGACGCTCGATAGTTTTCGAGTACTCTCAAAAGTGTTCTAGGCCACTCGAAAGTGTTCGTGGTGGTCTGATAGCTCTTTGAGGTGCGCGAAACACAACGCGCCGTGATATTTTATTATTTATCCATATATTTTGAAGTTTGGTAGGAACAGAAAAGGAGGCCCGTAGAAGGATACAGCTTGGCTGGGCAGCATATAGAAAACTTAATCAAGTCTTCTCGTCTCAGATACCGCAAAGCCTGAAGACAAAAGTCTTCAACGAGTGCGTCCTTCCAGTAATGACATACGGAGCCGAGACGTGGACACTGACAGTGCGACTGGTCCACCAATTTAAGGTCGCGCAGCGAGCTATGGCGAGGGCTATGCTCGAAATCTCTTTGAAGGATCGAATCCGAAACGAAGTGATCCGACAGAGAACCAAAGTTATCGTCATAGCCCAAAGGATCATTAAGCTGAAGTGGCAGTGGGCCGGTCACATTTGTCGAAGAACCGATAACCGTTGGGGTAAACGTGTTCTAGAGTGGAGACCGCGTCTAGGCAAAGGCAGTGTAGGGCGCCCTCCAGCTAGGTGGAGTGACGATATCTGCAAGTTCTCATCAATACAAATTAATCAAACCCGAACACAATGTCGCTACTATTAACCGTTGAGGTGTTCCCTCAACTACCTCTATAGTACTACTTCATCATCAGATCCATTGGCATTGGCATTTGGCAATCACATACCACCTAGGTATAAAGTCTTCATCAATACAAATTAATCAAACTCAAACACAAGATAGCTACTGGTAACCGCTGAGGAGTTCCCTCAACTATGGTAGTACTTCATCATCAGACCCTTATTGGCAATCACATACCACCTAGGTATAAAGTCTTCATCAATACAAATTAATCAAACCCAAATACAATGTAGCTACTGTTAACCGTTGAGGGTTCCCTCGACTGCCTATCGGCTCCATCATCAGATCAGCTCCAGACCTTTATCAGATTGTATTGGTTTTAAATACTTAACGAAAAAATTTACAAATGCACTAGTCTCCCCTATAATTTTTAAAAGTTCCCCCCGGTTTCCCTGGGATTCCATCATCAGATCCTGACTTCATGACAATAGGACCAAATGACAAACCTACCCTTTCAAACAAAAAAGAATTTTTGAAATCGGTCCAGGCGTCTTCGAGTAATCGTGTAGGTAACAAACAAAAAAAATACAGTCGAATTGAGAACCTCCTCCTTTTTTTGAAGTCGGTTGAAAAATCAAATTCAACAATTTTTACTCGAATGTGGACGCATTTGAGATCTCAGATTGGGAGAAACTTTAAAAAAATTAAAGTACTGTCGGTATAACTAAGTCCGATACTTTGGGCAGAGGAAGCTGCCTAGAATTTTCTTCCGATTTTCATACTAATTATTAGTATTTTATGTAAGGAAAAAATTTTCTTGTGAGTACCCTTTATAAGGGCCTCTTATCTAACACATTTTTATACCGCCAACACACGCTACGCCACTGACGATACCTAATGACGCCAAACAAAGTATTTACCTAAATGATTTCTTATAATTTTTCTAAAGACACGAAATATCTCGATATAAGTAGCTGAGTAATGATTATATTAATAAAATGACTTTCGTGTTGCGTATGATCTAAGATGATTAAGTAAGTACATTCTTTTACTGTTGATTGAACATGTTTCTTTATAAAAAAGTCTAGAAATTTTAGAATTTACGTAAAACACAACCTCCTAATGTCGGTAATGAAGTAGTAAATAAGACAAAGGAACAGCGAGAGAACAATAAAACTGGAGCATCTCTTTAACGTCCGGAGATAAACTTTATTTATACTCGTAACAGCTGCAAACTTTTGGTCAGCTCGTGTGCGCACTGTAAAACTCTCTTGTTTATTGTTATAACCTTTTTGTTTCTATGTTTCTCCGTTCCACTTGTACCGATATACTTTTTTGTTTGTATCCGAACGGAAGGGTCGGAAAAGTGACTCTTGATTTTTTACGAAATATTTATTTTTCTAGTCCTTGTAAGAACACACACGAAGCTACACACACCGTTATAAACCCTAATGTCTTAAAACGTTGTAGGATACAATAAACTACATTTAAAAAACTGACTTCAACCACCTCTTTTTTTGAAGTCGGTTAATTATTACCTATACAAAAAATTCTGTCGCGGAGAACCTAACGAGTTACCGGGGCTCCAGCTCGAGTGCAGCAGTAGGAACGGGGTGGTATTTAGTCAAGCAAGAGCCTGACACTCCCTCCCGCCTCACCCAGGTGAGAGCAGTCGAATTTGACGCTCTCCCCGCCTTAAAAAATATACTAAAAATTCTTCTAAGTGTAACAAACACTTTTCTGAAAATTGCTCCAAATGGGTTAAACCAATCGCAAGATAATCGCGTACCGAACATATACAAATACAGGTCAAACAGACAACCACCTTTTTTTAAAGCTTTGTAATAAAGTAGCACACACAAGTACCTAGCTATTTATTGTTATTTACCTACATTACGTGGTACCTAGAGTTAAACTTAAACATTTAATTTTAAGATTCAGAACATTTCAACCAATACAAAACCAAAACTAATATCTTATTTTGAAAAATATGGTTTCTTTAACGATGCGTTCACAAATCGTTAATCCGGCCATCGATCAAGTATGCGACCTTCGTGGAACGTGTTCACTAATCCTGCGACGACAACGCATGCGCTCTGGCGTTTAGCAAATGTCGTCTTTCCCGCCACTAATTCATTGCCAGCGAGTCTCGTGCCTCGAACGATTAAAGGGATGACAGCTACGACAGGGAATAAATCGAGAACAATCATGAGATTCACTGCTCTTTGATAAATAGGGTGCTAACTTTTCGTAGTTTTAAACTTTCAAAATGTCGCAACAACAACGCTGATGAATGTTGTAGTGGTTTGTTGTTATTATCGCTTTGAAATAGTTAAAATAATACATCTATGTACGGTGCTTACATGGTATGTATTAGGTACCTACTTACCTATATTACGTTGATATATCGCACTGAAAATCCCCAAAACGTGTTTATACAAAAGTAGTTTCTAAACATCGGAAATAAGGTCTATAATGGAGTTAGCGTTGGGGATTGAACAGTTATGAGAAAAAAACTTAAGTATGTTTTAAATTACCTGCGTAACGCAAGATCGCGTAATTTTTCTTATACAAGTCATTGAAGTGTAAATAATTCAAGGTTCTATTTATGTTAATAATCTTAATAAATGCTTACGATTGAATTATTCTTTTATGTAGCGTTTATGTGATATAAAATGTTACATTGTTACATTGTCCCTATTTAGAAAAAGTCTAAAATTGTTCCTGGTATATGGCAATAGGCTCATTCCCCCCTTAAAAATAAGACTGCCTCATTGGTCGAGTGGTCGCAAGGGCGACTGGCCGGGCAAGGGGTTCGATTCTCAGGTCGGGCAAAGTATTACCTACTCTGTTTTAAAAAAAATCTCAGTATTAGCACGAAATCTGAAATTGTGTCCGGTATATCGCAATGGCAAGGTATATCGCAAGGCTCAGTCCCTATTACATAGGACTCATAACATAAATAGTGAAAAGTGGGTATTAAATTGTGGCATTAAGTGCTGTAATGTGCACCTATGCCCATCCCTTTCGGGGTTAAACTATAAAATCATATTCACAAAATATGACATACAGGTTGCAGTGTAGATAGATACCTACAGGGCCTACTGCATCTATTTCAGTGAACCGTTACTTTGGTATGACATATTTGTGTAGGTATTATCAATTGAAGCATAATAATAAAAATAAACTACAACAATAACGTCTTGAAGCAAGGTAAGCTACGGAATATGAACGTTCGTAGGCACGTAGCAAGGTAGCGTAGAGGCTCTACGGTCTACGGCCACGGCATTTATTACAGAGAACACCTTTGTTAGGCATAACGTAATTATGTACATACATATTATACATACAGTCCGCCTTATGTGCCATATTAAAATTGTGTACATTAAAGATTAAATAAATAAATAAATAAATATTATGAAAAAATACAACCAAGGAACTGGCCTGAAGCCACGTAGTATACCGTAGCGTAGATGTGCTACGAACTCTACGAGTATTTACTTTTTTTTAATGTTTAATTTACAATTGAATTTTAGCAATGATTTATTTTTTATTTAATGAAATACATTATATCATAGTATAAAGAACATGTTCTTTATACTATGATTATATGCTTATTCGTGGGCATTCACGCCATAACACTATTATAATCCTCAAGGGGTAAATAGAGCCGGACTTGTTCAACATAAGACCCAATATAATGTTTACCTTTTTATATCAACTACTATATTATGAGTCACATGTGCCGTGTCACCTTTTATGCTGTTTTACAAAAATAAACTAAGGTTTAATACAAATAGAGTTGAGTTTTCTCTCTTACCAAGCTGAGAGGATGCGGCGGCGTGTGCGCAGATCTCGGCTCATGTAGCAAAGCTCGTAGGTGTGCTATGTATGATGCTGCCAGTCGCAGTGTGTCTAGCTTGGAGAGCTTCGTGTCTGCTGGTACCCAGGGTAGTGTGGTTTTCAGTCTGAGTGGAAGACAAATTGTAAGAAATCAGGTGGGAACTGTTTCCAAAGGTTCAACTCGACCTAAAGGTCAGTAACCCTAAACTAAAATATTAAGAAAAATTGTAAGTACCTAGTTCGAAAAACGAAGACGTAACTTATAATTAAATATATTTTTTAAACTATGCCAGTTGCGTACTGTAATGTACGTATTACAGATATTAAAAAGTATTGAATGCTTTGAAAAAAATCTGTGTAGATATCCTGTAAAATAATAGGTAAATAGTTATAATATGTATTGGTGTGCACGGGAAATACGGGGAATAATATAATCATTCAACATGGAACTTATTTTTGTTTTGGTTTCTGTTTTTTGGGAACGAGTTGGTGAGTCTCGGAAATATTATACTTGCTTTAATAAATAGATTACAATTACAATCAAAATATACACACCTGCAGAATGCTTTCGAGAGGACTCTCATTCGAGCTCGCTCCCGTGCGTTGGCGGCGTTTCTGTGTTGTGGCTCTTGTGAACTCCGACCTGCATGGTAAGGGATTTTAGTTTTAACCATCTTATACTTAATAAATAAATAAATAAATAATATCGTTTATTTCTCAGTATATGGTACACATAGATCTTAACAATACAGCAGTTTCACATACACAACCGTCTCCGGTGTAGAAATAATTATAATAGTATATAGGCATAATAATTTTGTATAGGCAACTGTACAAAATATTAATTTGAATTAGGCATGGTACCCAAGTGTACCATGGTATCTTTTAAAGATGTAGAAGTCTGTATGTAGGATTGTTGGTACTTAGATAAGAAACTACAGATTATGAATACTCTTTTTAATTTTGTACGTTTATTCTATCTTATTTTTTTATCAGTAAGCCATAGCAGTCATTAGAGGTAGGGATCTAAATGATATGACAGCGAAAATTGAGAAAATTACATTACAATAAATTGTTAAACAATATAGGCATTTTATAGAAAACAAAAATTGTACTCCCTCACCTGAATTTGATTGAGTATCATCAAAGAAGAAATCGTCGTCATCCGCATCGTCAGTCCGTTTCTCAACCGGCGGGGATCGGTTCACTCGTTTTCTGGGCATTTTGGATATTGCACTTAATTAATTTATTATCACTAACACTGCACTAGCACATTTTAAACTTCCACAATTTTAGGGGTGGGTTCGATCCTGTCTTACAGCGTGACGTTCATCATTTGAGCTGCGCGCACGCAAGGCGGGCGGCCGGGCCCGCTGGGCGGCGCTAAATCTCGCCCCTCCCGTACAAACTTCAGGATTACTGTTCGACTAATGAACGATGCTTTACACAGGAAAATATATAAGCTCTTCGTTTTTGTTTGTTCGTGTACCTACCCACTATAGTATAAACTAAATAACTCATGGTTGTAAGAAATTTTAAAAAGGTTTTCATTTAGAGTCCTTTATTATTTCACAATCTAAGTAAGTTTTCTGAGTGATGTGAATATGTTTAATGATTGTCACCCAAAAAACTCTTTTAAACAATATAGAAGGAAAGAAAAAATCTTTATTTCACACGCTAAAAAACGAGTGACATGTATGTACAGTGGTATCAGTAGCTGCGGATGTATACCTACCTACATGTTCATGTCTCAAGTCTGCGGTGAAATGGGACCAGTTCAGCATAAGCAAGACAGGGCCTTGCGCTGGTATATTATACCAAAACATTTACACAAGTACTTACTTCAATACTTAACAAGTAGTTGAGCGCTTACTTGGATTTGAAAGCCTATCTGACTTAGCAAAAGTGGTGCTACTTGCTATACCAGCGTATGCAATGTATTTGTCTATACCTACTAGCTGACTTAATAAAATCATACCTAATAGAAAATGCATTCAGGTCAGAGGATTTACTTTATTTCTCCTTCCTAAATTGACTATGAAATCAATCCCAAGAAAGTGTGAAGCAATTAGCGCCGTCGAAGTGTCCCACAAAAAATTGACAGAGAGTCGCGCGGGTCACACTTCCGCGACATACAATACTTTTTGAATAATTCTCTGACACACGTGCTACGCACCCCGCATGAACCCTTGCGTCATTTTAGAATAGAAGTTTCCTTAAATTTCTGCAAAATTCTATTTTTTTTTGTAGTGCGACTGGTCGCATACGTCAGATTACTGAGCAAAAGAATTCGATTCCTAAGATAAATTAAGAAAAATAAAAACGCTTTCGAGCCTTATAAAATTCCTTAACAAGACATCTTATTAAGTGTGTTAGTTTTATTTATGACAAAGTATTTGTTTTGCACCTACAATAAAATTGAGGGTTGTATTTAATATTAGCTCGTCAGTCAGCCCTAATTGTGGAGATGATCGGCGGCGGCTTCCAACTGTGAGGTGTTAGATGATTGCTGCAAATAGGATCCAACTAGGGTTGCTACTAACTGTCGGGTCGCGTGAAAAAAGGCTTTAACTCGAACAATAATCGTAATTGAATTACTAATAAAAAAATTACTAGGTGTAGGTACACTAATGCCATTATCCATTTACAAATATCAAAATTCTGCAGGATCTACAGTATGGAGTTCTGAAAATAGTAGGCATACAAATCATACAATACATTGATACATACAAAAGTTAGGTACCTAGGCTTACCTTAACTTCCTCTGGAAATTACACTTTAAAACGAGCGCCTAGCTTCACTAACAAACAGATGGACGGATAATTAAATATTTGACATTTGAAAAATGTCTAATTAAAAGGATTAATAATTAATCCATTCAAAAACCGGAATACTCACACTTTGCGGGTTGTTACGTTCACCGGCTACCATCAGACGGCCCGTAGGTAATCTTTAGTGTATATGTCGTAGGATAATTTGATACTTCGAATCTTTGCGGAAATCCTAGGGGTTTTGCGAAAACGCGGATAATTAGACATAGGCGAAAAATTATCAAATCTTACTGGACAAAGTCAGGATTTTTGCGAAAATACTCGTTACTATAGTAAGATTTGATGTGCTCAACACTGATTGGCTACAATTTTGCTGGCTGACTTCTAATTGGTTCCTAGTTTGCCGATGATTAACTTCAAGTATTGTATCATAGAGTTATGATGGTTTTGAATAGGTGAAAACGAAAAATCACTAAATTGATTCTTATAAACCTTTTATTGAAAATTTTAGTATGTATGTTGTTTTCTAACGACAATAGAAGATCTCAGTCGTAGTAAAAAAAAATGATCCAATTTTAGGGAGTAATCCATAAATTGGATGAAACTGGTCGTTTAAGACGACGAAAAAACATTTAAGACGTCAACCAATCAGAGACGATCTCTTATTGAACGCGCTGACTGACCAATCAGCGTTCTTATTTCATAACAGCCAGCGTTTCGTTTCGCAATCTTACTATAGTAACGAGTATTTTCGCAAAAATCCTGACTTTGTCCAGTAAGATTTGATAACTTTTCGCCTATGTCTAATTATCCGCGTTTTCGCAAAACCCCTAGGATTTCCGCGAAGATTCGAAGTATCAAATTATCCTACGACATATACAAACCTATCAATTTATTAATAAAATTACCGTATGGTTCTCTTCCGCTTCTGAAAGTAAGTAGGTAATTAATAGTTATTTTTGTAGTATTCCACGAGCGCAGTAGCAACCCTAGCCATCCAGGTGGCGGATATCAAAGCATTGAATTTAACCGCTCCGACGAAAAGTGATTCGTTTTAAGCGCCACACAGTGACTTACGATGCTACTGTTTACTCAACTAATATTATTCTTTGTTCCACTTACACGCGTACAATTAATAACGATGGACATCTCTAAGAATATGTGAATAATTTATGAGTTTTCAAAATTTATTATAGTAATGCTTACCTATAATAGTCATAGAGCAACACGGGCCACTGCTCTATGATAATAGTTAAGCCTAGGCACTTGTAGTAGTTTCAGTAGGTTCCTGTTTCGGATTGGGCGGGAGGAAACGCCCGGGTGTCATCACTGAGCACAGCCGTGTCCTCAGGGATGTGATCGGCGACGGCGACCCCTCGCGTCCGGCTCTGGTTCAGACCATAGTACGGAGCGAGGGCGACTGGGATGCCGTCTCATGCTAGTTAAGGAGGAGGCGGGGCGCGTAAGGGAACGAACCTCAAAGAGCCATCAGACCACCATAGATGGGGCCCTATAGGGCTGACGTCGATACGGAGCCGCGGAAGATTTAACAGGTTGCTGGGGGCTCCGGCTCGAAGTGCAGGAGTAGGAACAGGGTGGTTTTTAGTCAATAAGAGTCTGACACTCCCTCTCACCTCACCCGGGCGGGAGAAGTCATTGGATGATTATATTTGTGTTATCCCCCCTAAAAAAAAGTCACTTACAGTACAACCTGCCTCTCTGGAAGTCGCTGGGCGAGGCCTATATATGTACAACAGTGGACATCTTATGCCGATATGATAATGATGATAACGCTGACGCTGACAGAAACTTTACATACCCATTGATAGGAAATGTTTTATACGGGACAGGAGTAGGAGGTAAAAGAATAGACGCAGTCGGATTACTTGATGGTCAGTGATCGACGTTGCCCAGGATCATCCGCTCTCTCGCTCCTCTTGATTAATTTTGACCTAAAAACGTAATAATCAGCAAACCTCTTAAAACTTAAAAACCTTCTATATGTAAATATTACTTACATAGTATGTCTCCTTGTAAAATATATCTTATTTACAAAGCAAGGACGTAATAAATTCTAATTCAAATAGTTTCGGACGACTTACGCAAATAGTTTGAAATGCCACACGTAAAAATAAAACAAATGGGAACCTGCAACACCTGGAAACGTCAAATTTCGACAGCTATCAACAAAACTACTATCTGCTTTTGACAGAGAGGGGTGAACCTGTAACAGTTGCCGATATCGGTATTATTGATATCTCTAGTAATTTATTTGAGTTTATGTTATTATTTGAATTAAAATTCATTTCAAAACTGAAAAGTTCATTGCTAAGTTTATGAAGTGACCTGTTACGATTAATGACGTTTCTTAACAAAAATATTTATCATCTCTTCATAAATAATATCTGACACTGGTTTGAATATCGATATTGCTAGTGGTGTACACAACACTAGTTCTCATTTTCATTGAATACGAATACGAACTTATAGTTTGTCCTATTTCTATTGAACTTTTTGTGTAATTGTGTTAATGTTATTAAACAATATTCTTGAGATCGTTACTATGCTGTGTGGAAAATTAGAGACAGTGAGGCTCTGCTAGTACAAGTTTCTACGAAGCCACCGGCCTGTGCCGTGTGCCAAGTAAAAATGTTACCGGGAATTGGGGTTTTTGGAACTGGAGCTATTGCGAAGGTTTTGGTGCCATTTTTAAGAGAAAAAGGATTTCCAGTTGAAGCGATATGGGGTGTAACTCTACAAGAAGCAGAAATAGCTGCCAAAGAACTGAAGATACCATTTTTCACGAACAAAATCGATGATGTTTTGCTGAAGAAGAATGTCAGTTTAGTATTTATTGTATGTGCGCCTAACTTACACGCTCAGATATCAGTGAAGGCGTTGGGTATTGGGAAACATGTTGTCTGTGACAAACCTGCTGGGCTCTGTCAAACGGAAGCCTTGAAAATGGTACGTGCCGCTCAGTACTACCCAACCCTAATATCAATAGTCAATCATTCCTTACGTTTCTTGCCAGCTTTCAGTCATATGAAGAAGTGTATCAATGATGGCTACTTGGGCAATCCAGATGAACTGACTTTAGTAGATGTTAGAGTTCAGATGGGTCCACTGATTGGTGACACCTACAATTGGCTCTGTGATGACACTATGGGAGGAGGAACGCTTACATTAGTTGGTAGTCATGTTATAGATCTAGTGTCCTTTTTGACTGGCCAGAAGGTTGTCAAAGTACACGGAGTTCTGAGGACTTTCGTAGAAGAAACAAGCAAAGTGAATGGAATAAGGAAGATTACTGCACCAGATTTCTGTACATTCCAATTACAAATGGATAAAGGTTTACTTGTTACAGCAACACTGAACAACCATTTGCCTGGACCATGCTTTAATCAAGAAATATATGTGTGCAGCAAAAAAGGATACTTGGTTGTAAAAGGTGGGGACCTTCATGGTAAACTACACAAGCCTAATGCTAAGTCTATAGAGGAGGAAGGAAAAAGGCCTCATGATAAGGAAGAGGTCATTTATGTTGATGTTGAGGATTTGAGTTGTGCCTCTAGTGTTGTCCCTAAACCCTACATAAAGGGACTTTGTAAAATGATAAGTGCTCTGAAAGAAGCGTTTTTACCTGTCAAAGAGCAAACGGATTGGGTAAAAGAACCTGTAAAGGCCGCAGCAACATTTGAGGATGGTCAAAGAGTTCAAGCCACTATGGAGGCGTTACGTCAGTCAAATGAGGATGGTTGTTGGATAACTGTGCAGCTACTCACTGAACCACCAGACCCCAACCCGGCATTGTCTGCGGCAGTGAGACGCACTGCCATATCTTTACAATAGACTATGCATTTTAATGATGTATTGATATGCCATTATTATGTACCTTTATATGTTGTAAGCATGCTATGTTGCATATAAATAAGTCATAAGTACTTAGCTAATAAGTTTTGATAACTGAAATTAACTCAGTATTAATGTTAATTATCTCACTAAAGTTTAGTCACAAAAACAATTAGTAAACAATGCTAGTTTGCTTAGCAATGTACTTAATTTTTTTTTATTGTAAGCTTGCCATGATTATGTATAATATGAATGTTTTCACTCAAAGTTCTCATGTTGCACTTGGATTTACACAGAAAATTAAATAAGAATATTATGTACATGAATTATTTTAATATTATTATGTAAACCGGCTGTATCTGCATAGATACTGTATTTACTGTGATTTAAGTTTAATGAATGTATTCAGGTTGTACAAAAGATGTGACTTGTTTGAAATATATTTAATTATGTACTGCCTTATAATGTTTATTTTATTTCTTATCAAGACAAACTTATATTGAGGCACCAGTAATAAAAAAACTAAGTTATGTAAGTTATCAGTAACATTTTTGGCTGGGTGTGGCCTTGTAACTGAATAGAATAAAAATTCAATTCATTGAAGCATGCATTTTACAAAATAATACAAGAGAAGTGCAGTTAAGTAATTTTACTTAATTAAGAGGTTAATGAACTTAGTAAAATTAGTTCCAACTGGATTGAAATCCAATGTTATCACTTGATGTTAACTATTGCTTATCCATTTCTAATGAAGTAGACCAATCAGTTATTAAGTATGAGGTAATAGGTACATTGTTTCTGGTGTTTAACTGTGACAAAGGAATTTTGTTCTAAATAAGTTTAGGTTATGTGAAGTGAACAAGCACAGCAAAGTGACATTTCTAGGTTATGTGTGGATGATGAAATATTTTAACTAAAGTGGGACTTATAAATGAAGAACACAACATTTCTGTAACAAATTTATAATAAGAAATGCATAGCTAACATCAGTAACCCCATCTCACAACATAGCAGCGTATTACACAATCACAAATGTTCATTCACTACAATATGTACTAATTTAAACTAAACAGAATCAGAATCAATAAAACTATAACTAGCACAATTTAGTTGTCGATCTTCGCCAGGATGTCGGTCTCTCGGAATAGGTGGTACTCCTTCTCGTCGTTTTCTAGTGACACTTTGGTACCTCCGTATTCAGGAAGCAGAACTTTGTCGCCAACTTTTACTAGTACAGGAATGAAGTCACCGTTGTCTTTCCTCGCGCCAGGTCCTACAGCCACAACTTCTCCGTGCAGGACTTTGCCCTGAGCCTTCTCAGGGATTACGATGCCTCCAGCGGTTTTGGTTACTGCTTCGGCCCTTTTGATGAGAACTCGGTCGAGCAGGGGAATAAGGCGCTTCACTACGTTGGACATGTTGTCTTTTGTCAAATTTTTCCTCGAAACAAGTGAAGAAACCGACTCTGAGCCGATTTTTTAATCTAGAATTTTGTCTAGAATATTCGAGCTCCGTACCGACCGGCAATTGTACGATTTTGACAATTGTTCATTCATCTCATTTTACCCATGTGTTTATGGTGTTGCCTGGTTTCAACATCATTTTTGAATTTCGATTGATTTTATTTTTCTCAATTTCTCGATATCCTAAATAAAGTAATTGCCATTAAAAATATATGATATTATGTATACATAGTATATTTTTTTTAAAATATAAATTTTAAGATCTTGTTTTAAATTTCAATTAATTAAGAAATAACGGGAGTGTGAACATAACATTGCCATCTAGTAGGGAGTAGTAGTACTATGTTTAAAAGTATGCTCATTCCGAAAGTAGATGTCGCTACCAATCCATTCGTTAGGCAGCGTAGCACAAATTTTATTTATTTCATAAAATTATATCACCAAAAAGCTACAACTTAGCATCCCTTATATGAAATACTTTACGATTTGTAATTATTGCGCATATCCCATTGTATATGAAGTTATCGGATGCAGAGTTATGACTGTATAGTTCAATAAAAATAACGTTCAAATTCATTTATTCTCAACTTCAATTAAGTTTACAATATATTATCGTTATGCTTTGGAAAGTACCATAAGTTAAAAAAAAAACTCCAAAGTCGTCCCAGCATCTATCTATGATATTTCCTCATAATATCTTCGAATAACTGTATTCGTTCTTCTGCGTACTTGGAACACGTAGAGAGGTCCTTGTTGATGATCATGAGGAATTGTTCACCGGTACTGTAGGGCGGCCAGTATAAGGGTAACAGGTTACTTATGTTCGGGGTAGGGTTCCTAGAATAAAATTATAATTATTTATGTGTAATATTGTCATTTACATAAAATCGCGCCTTATATCTCCAAAGATGTAGGCAGAGGTTTTACTTTACCAGGGAATCGACTGTGATGCCTACATAATCGAATAACAAGGCAGTGAAGTAAATGTGTTGAAATAAATCATAGAAACAAGTTAATTTTCGAAAGAAGAATAACACTAATTAATCTCATAGCAAAACTAAAGACAAGATTAACAAAACTATCGAAGAGTAAAATATGCATTGATGTTGACGTCAGAAAAATGTATAAGTAGTTAAAGTACCTATAATTATGTACTTACGAGAATTTAGCAAAATTAGTCCACATAGTCGAAATTCTATCTCTAACGGTAACATCATTCTGTGTGAGATTCCTTCGCGGCTCTATAAGTATCGTGTACGCGGTGTCATCTGCGTGACCCGCCCCTTTCTTGGTGACACGGCTCGCTGCTTTAATAAGATTCAATGTACCGTCATACGAGAATTCATATAAGTATACTGGCACTGCGTTCTTCACCATCAATTTGGAACTGATAATGATACCACTGACAAATTCAAAGTCTCCAAAGAAATCTATAGCAGGCCTCTCAGTGTCATTTCCTTTGTAAGTGTTGTAGACGTGTCGAAATCTCTCATTATAATAGTATGTATCGGTAGAAGTATTGAAAGGAAATCTCCAATAATCAACATAATTCTGAAGCATAGTTATTTCTTTGATGTCTTGAGGTTTTAGACCGCTGATTATAAATCCTTCTGAATCGGTAAAGCCTCTCATAACTGGTACTTTGTTGAATCGTCCAGAAGTCAATAGGTCGTATGGTATTTCCGTCAAAAATGCTTCTCCATATCCAAAATGTTGTTCTATTGTTGGAACAAACCCATAGTACAGTCCTTTTCCTGTAAGAAGTTCTTGGATTTGGTAAGTGCTGCTATTATTTGCTCAGCAGGTATACTCATCAGATGTTCGTAAATTGCAGGATAGTCGTTCTGTGCACCTTGATAGTTTAGATTTCGGGCCAATTTAAATGCAAGATCTTTGATTTTATTTGATGTTTCTATAGCCCACGGATTGAGTACTGATCCCGATTGCATTATAGCTTTATGAAACAGACCTGTACTTAAAGGAGATATTACATGATACTCTACGGAAGCCGCTCCAGCGCCAATACCAAAAATGGTGACGTCATCTTTATTTCCTCCAAAGTCTGCTATGTTCTCTTGAACCCATTTTAATGCTAGTGCTTGGTCTTTTAGTCCCATGTTACCACTAGCTTCAGGTATGTCTAAGGCAAGGAATCCCAAAGCACTGAGTCTGTAATTCATAGTAACTACAACAACGTTATGTTCTATTAGGTAGTCTGGACCATTCTCGAATTTAGCCAGACCATTCCCGAAGAAGAATCCTCCACCGTGTATGAAGACCATGACTGGTAAGAGGTGCATTAACAGACCTACTGTAGGGACCTTCGGCGTAGACACGTTTATGTAGAGGCAGTCCTCAGAACCGCGAGGTATTCTTTTAAATAGGTCATACTGTATGCAAAGGTTGGACTCACTGTATACCGTGCTATTTCTTTCTCCTTGCCATGGATCGGGTGGCTGGGGACTCTGGAACGAATTTAAAATCATTAATAATATTTTTTTTTTTGGTTTTGCTCTTTTTTTTCATTACTCACTAAAGTTTTATTCACTAAAATGGTTTAAAATATGTACCTCAGATACCTCCCTGGCTTTCAAGCTGTGTGATTTGTTTCTGAATATCGTAGCGTAAGTTATTTTTCTTCATAGGCTACATAACCAACCATTCCACTAGGTAGTGCCTAGTTATATGCAAAAAGAGAAGCCGATGAATCAAATCAGTTTCATTAACGGCATTTGTTTAATTATAATTAAGTTTTTTATTATATTTACCTTAAATCGTAGATATCCAACAGGAGGTTTGGCGTAAGGTATATTAAGGAAGTCATCATATTCGAAGCCATTTTGAGTTTTTCTTCTTGCCCCCACAAGGACGCCAAGTTTAGTTTTTACTTTGGTCGTCATGGGTTTTTGTTTTGCCACACTATTTATTTATAAGTCCATGGACGAAATGATGTGACTCTGCTAAAATTTGGACTTTATATTATGTGTAACATGGTCAGAAATTCCCAAAGTTTATTATTTTAAATATTAAGTGTAACATACAATGTAAGTACAAAACGACTATAACATTCGTGTTGTAATTAAGACGTTAATTTTACACATGAAATAAGACAAAATAAATCAGTTTGTTTTATTTATGTCAAAATATAAAAAGTTGAGTTACAATATAATAAGTTTAAGCATCTTTAGATTCAATCGTTACCCTACTCTGTAAACACAGTTTCTTCCAGACATGTTTTTTTATGTCGCAAAAACGTTTTTGTATCCAATAAGTACACGAAAAAAATACATAAAATCCGATTCTCATGAGAAGTTTGAGAAACTCATAAGTAACAAAAAGATGAGTAGAACACAGTTGTAATGGTATTGTTATGATGTAACTAACTTATGTCGGCACAGAGTAATACATAATGGACGTAGTTTTTCTATACATACAATAGGTAGCCAACGGATTACATATTGGTAAAATCCATAGGTACTTCGATTTCTTAATAAAAACACATAAAGCATCTAGGTTTTTGTGTGATATTGCCCAATAGTTCCGTCAATGTAATGACTGTACATACATGTAATTTGCTTAGGTATTAAAGACAAATACTAAGATTACCTAATGATTTAGACTTACTTCCTAAATACTAGGAAATCGACATCATGAGATAATTTCCACACATTTGTGTCATCTATCTTAAAGTTCGATTGGTTAAAAATTCGTTGACCAAAAAGTTGTAGGTAATGAGACAGTACTAGGTTTACTAATATTAGCTGTATATGTGAGATGTAAGTAATAGGCTTACTTACTGAGAGACAACTACTGCGGTACCTACTGTTAGATGACGAAAATCAACTAAATGAACGTCACTAGTTTAATCTATGTTATCGACAGCACTAGCTGTCATATTGACGATGTCATCTGTCAAATGAGACAGTTTAGAAAAGTTTCCCGCGCAAAGTAGAAGTGGAGTGACGCTCGATACTGGTGGGAAGTTGGAAGAGCACTGTGTTCTGTGTTTTTAAAAGAATCCGATTATAATAAACTTTTAGATATTTAAAGTATTGAGTTTTACTTAAAACTACATACAATAATGATTAGCATTGTTAAAATAATATTATACTCGATATTAAATGGTGAAAATTCACTTTCAATACCTACAAAAAGACTATTTAAAAAACTTGGACATTACATAAGAAGATAATCTCTTAGAATTTAATCTCAGTTTGATCCGTCAATCGATGGTATTTGTCTAAGATTTCTTCAAATATTTGCATCCTTTCGTCAGCGTATTTGGCTCTGATGGACATATCTTTGTCTATCACCATGTAGAACTGTTCGCTGCTGCTGTATGGCGGCCAGAGCAGTGGCAGCAGGGGACTTGTTGTCGGAGTGGGATTCCTAGAAATGAATAAAAAGGTTGAGTAGGTATTTCGATTGCCAAAATATCAAGTTATTCTGTAAACCCTGGAATTTTGTTAGGCCTAAAAATAGTTACATAATAGATAATAGGTTAAAGTGATAAAATACTTATCGTAATATATGAAATGGGTCCAAAGTAACATGTAAATGATGATCTAAATGATTTATCTATCTACATATATTTCACAAAACAATATATTTCTATAGAGGTGTTATGTTATCTACATAAGTAAGGCTGGTTTTAGTCTGACGCTGCGCTGACGGCCCGCGTATCATCAGCGCTAAAGGTCGAGGTATATGAACTTCTAGCAAGCGTTTTTTTAAAGGCGCGCAGACGGTTCCTAGAAGTTCATACATTTCGGTTGCCAGCGACACAACCGACAATTGTGATCAGCTTGTCTCTAACCTAAGTATATGAATACTTACGCAGTTTTAGCAAAGTTAGTCCACAACTTAGAAATTCTGTTTCTAACAATAACATCATCCTGTGTTAGAATCGGGACAGGCTCAATTTGTATCGTGTAAGCTGTATCATCACCATGTGCAGCTCCAGTCTTATTTACTCCGTTCAAAGCTTTGAGCAAATTGAGGCTACCATCATAAGTGAACTCGTATAAGTAGACTGGCACACCATGCTTCACTAATAGCTTCGAACTCGCAATTACACCACTAACGAAGTCAAATTCTCCAAAGAAGTCGATAGCTGGTCTTTCGATGTCGTTCCCTGTGTAACTATCGTAAGCTTGTCGTAATTTTTCATTATAGTATGTCGCATCGCTTGTACTTAAAGGATATCTCCAAAAATCCATATAATTCTTAAACGTGGTCACTTCTTTTACATCTTGTGGCTTAGTACCAGCTTCAATGAATCCTTCAGAATCAGTAAACCCTCTCATTACAGGTACTTTAGTGAACTTTCCAGATTTCAATAGTTCATATGGGTTTTCTGTTAAAAATGCTTCACCGTTTCCAAAATCTTTTTCAATTGTTGGTCCAAATCCAAAATAAACTCCTTTTACTTGTGAAGGGTTAGTGGCTTTGTTAGCTGCTAATTTAATATATTCAGCAGGAACATTCATCAAATGATCATGTATAGCCCGGTAGTCTTTCAAGGGTCCTTGATAGTGCAGTTCTTGCGCCAGTTTTAAAGTGTGATTTCTTATGTTTTCTGGACTGTCCAATGCCCAGGGATTCAGAGCTGATCCAGATTGCAGGATAGCTTTGTGGAATAGACCTCTCGTTAAAGGAGAAATCATGAGAAATTCGACGGAGGCCGCACCAGCGCTGATGCCGAAAATTGTGACGTCATTCTTGTTACCTCCAAAATGCTCAATGTTTTCTTGAACCCATCTTAATGCCATGACTTGATCTTTAAGCCCCATGTTTCCGGAGGCTTCAGGTATATCAAGAGATAGAAACCCATAGGCGCTAAGTCTGTAGTTCATAGTAACGACTACGACATTATGCTCGATTAGGTAATCTGGCCCATTTTCGAATTTCGCAAGTCCATTTCCAAACACGAAACCTCCACCATGAATGAACACCATTACTGGAAGTAAGGCTAACAGTCCAGCTGCAGGCACCTTCGGTGTGGAGACGTTCACATACAGACAATCCTCACTGCCACGATTTTTTTGTTTGAAAATGTCGTACTGTATGCAGAGATTGGATTCGTTGTAAACTGTAGCATCTCGATCTCCCAGCCACGGTTCTGGTGGTTGAGGATTCTGGAAAAACACAAAGAAAAATATCACACATAATATCAAATCATCTATACCTTGAATATATGTACTTACGTTAAAACATCCAGGTTTCGCCAGTTAGGAATGGTATGAGATACCATACGATTGGTCTGTATCGTACGTACATTAACTTTTATTGTTATTTCTACTACTTATGGAATCTCTATCTCTTTATGAATCAAACTGTACACATCTAGTTTAACATAAGTTGTAAGTAATTTAAACCTTACCTTAAATCGTAGTTCCCCAACAGGAGGCTTAGCGTAGGGGATGTTGAGAAAATCATCATATTCGAAGTCATTAGTAGTTTTTCTTCTTGCACCAACTAGGACACCCTGTTTTGTTCTCAATCTTGTTGTCATTTCAACTCTAAAATATTTTAATTATATTATTCCTTGCGTCTGCAGTCAAAGACGGAAGAGTACTTAGTCACATGAATGATTTAAGTTCCTTTTATAAAACTTGTTCAGCTTTACTCAAACTTTGATCTAATTTATTTATTACACAAGATCCTTGAGATATGTCTATGTGATTTCTATTCTTTTGTTCAGTATGAATGGGAAATGTATGTGTTTTATTGTAATATACGTTACATCGTGGAAAGCAGTAGATGTTTTAAGTGACTATAGGTACGAACTATAAATCAAGCTCTAGGATGTCTCTAAATTTGCTAACGTGAACAATGTGTAATATTTTACGTTCGGTTAAGATTTTAACTTCCCTATTAAGGGTCGGCCCTTAACCTTAATTAACTGAGCATTGAAAAATCGGTTTTTCAATGCTTAGATAAATTTTATCAGAGGAATAAGTTTGAATTTTTAACAATTCTTCCATACTAAAACTAAAACTGTCAATTTTATTCTACATGATGTTTAAAAAATAGGCCCTAAGTAAACTTATGTTATAACTAGCTGTGCCCGCGACTTCGTTCGCGTGGTTGTCGAAAACAAAACAAAATCGTTTAGATAATACACACCCATGACGATAAATTGAAAATTTCATGCAGCCGCCATCTTGGATTTTGATTCTGACAGCGCCATCATTTTCACCGCCCTCAAAAACCATGAAAACGATATCCATGATGATAAATTAAAAATTTCGGGCAGCAGCCATCTTGGATTGGCATTATGACAACACCATCATTTTCACCACCCTTGAAAACCATGAAACCGATACCCATGATGAAAAATTAAAAATTTCGTGCAGCCGCCATCTTGGATTTACATTTTGACAGCACCATCGGTTTTACCACCCTCGAAAATCATGAAAACGATGCCTATGACGATAAATTAAAAATTTCGTGCAGCCGCCATCTTGGATTTACATTTTGACAGCACCGACGGTTTTACCACCCTCGAAAACCATGAATACGATACCCATGGCGATAAATTAAAAATTTCGTGCAGCCGCCATCTTGGATTTACATTTTGACAGCACCATCGGTTTTACCACCCTCGAAAATCATGAAAACGATGCCTATGACGATAAATTAAAAATTTCGTGCAGCCGCCATCTTGGATTTACATTTTGACAGCACTATCGGTTTTACTACCCTCGAAAACCATGAATACGATACCGGTGGCGATAAATTAAAAATTTCGTGCAGCCGCCATCTTGGATTTACATTTTGACAGCACTATCGGTTTTACTACCCTCGAAAACCATGAAAACGACACCCATGACGATAAATTAAACATTTAATGCAACGGCAAACATACATAAAAAAGAAACAATCATTCGAACATAGTGCCTCCTCCTTGTTTTGAAGTCGGTAAAAACAAACAGGCGTTAGCCCTGAATAATATATCCCGAGCTACTAACATCGTTTTGTTCGCAGCTCGGGATCGGCCTACCCGCGTTTCGCCCTTCACACCCCGCACGATTGCCCTGTCTAGACGTCTTCGTTGGACGACTGTATAGACTGTGACGGAACTGACAGTACGGCCCTATTGACCGGGTCTGACGTCATACTTACTAATACCCAGTGTGGTCGTTCATAATCATAGTGCAGCTCGCTTCGCGCTTGCCACTCACGCGGAGAATTACGAATTTACCCGAACGATCACGACGCTTCCCGAATACACTCGGTGATACAAATTTGTTCTTCATTTCTACGTGCATTCAGAAGTTTATTGCGTAATAATGTTAAAAGTAAAATACATATGTTACAAAAAGGTCGTTCGTACGATCTTTTAAACTTAAGGTGACCGTAAAGGCCAGATTTCAAAATACCTATAGCCTATTCTACTTGTTTTGAGGACGGGGGCTGCATTCAAACGCATCCTCTCCAACGTCGGGGGGCCAAACGCCTCCTGCCGGAGGTTATACGCCGGGGTCGTGCGGTCCATGGCCCTCTACGGCGCCCCTGTGTGGGCGCCGAACCTGATGCGGCGGCCCGGTCGGGCGCTGCTCATGGTACAGAGGGTCATGGCGATCCGAATGATTCGCGGTTACCGCACGATCTCCGGGAAATCGGCGAACCTCCTTGCCGGATTACCGCCGTGGGATCTGGAGGCGAAGGTGCTCGCGCGCGCGGAGGCACGTTGTCGGGGCGAAACTCGGCTGCCGCGCCGGATAGGTGCGTGGCGGGATGAGCTCCGGCGCGATCTCATGGCGGAATGGCAGCAACGACTGTCGCAACCGAGGGCTGGGTTCGCTGCCATTGCAGCGGTAAGACCCCTCTTTGAGGAGTGGCTTGAGAGACGCTACGGCGTCCTCACCTACCGCCTGACGCAGGTCCTCACCGGACATGGAAGTTTCGGGAGGTACCTGTGTCTGATGGGGCGGGAGGAAACGCCCGGGTGTCATCACTGCGAGGGCCGCCCTGAGGACACGGTGGAACACACTGTAGCGGAGTGCCCTGCGTGGGCTGAGCACCGCCGTGCCCTCAGGGAAGTGATCGGCGATGGCGACCTCTCGCGTCCGGGCCTAGTGCGGGCCATGATGCGGAGCGAGGGGGACTGAGATGCCGTCTCCTCCTTTTGCGAAGCAGTCATGCTAGCTAAGGAGGAGGCGGGACGCGTGAGGCAGCGAAGTGCTACCTCCTCGCAACCCAGCCATCGCGAAGGACACACCGGGCGTCGGGGATTGCAGGACGATCTCCGACCACTGTAAGCGCGGGCCTGCGGACGGCGAGCATGGGTGGCTCCCCGTCCGACCAGAAAACAGAGCCCGCCCGCGCCTTAAAGAGCCATCAGACCACCACAGATGGGGCCCAATAGGGCCAATGCCGATTCGGAGTCGCGGAGAACCTAACGGGTAACCGTGGCTCCGGCTCGACGTGCAGGAGAAGGAACTGAGTGGTTTTTAGTCAGTAAGAGTCTGACATTCCCTCCCGCCTCAGCCAGACGGGAGCATTCATAAGATGATTTTCTCCCCTTAAAAAAAAATAGCCTATTCTACTTGTTTAAAATATCAAGTAGTATCTTTCCTTCGGACTTCAAACTAATGACCAAACGAAACCAATTTTCCAAAGATGTTATTTCGAGTACTATACTGAATTGCGTGTTGTAATATTTTACTTGAACTCACTAAATTAATCATAACTTCTGATAGAGTGAACCGATTTCGATGAAACAAAAACTAAGTTATACCTCGAGTTGCGCAAAAATTTTGTATATAAGCAATGTCTGCATTGAATTCGTAGATTTTACGTGATGCGCGCACAAACAAACAGACAAACAGACAAACAGACAAAAATTTCAAAAATGATGGAAATGGATTCTTTTGGTTATCTTTTAACACGCTGGCTATTTTTTTTGTCAATTTCTTCAATGTACAAAAATTACTTTTCTACAGATTTATTATATGTAAGGTCGTTCGTACGATCTTTTAAACTTAAGGTGACCGTAAAGGCCAGATTTCAAAATACCTATAGCCTATTCTACTTGTTTTGAGGACGGGGGCTGCATTCAAACGCATCCTCTCCAACGTCGGGGGGCCAAACGCCTCCTGCCGGAGGTTATACGCCGGGGTCGTGCGGTCCATGGCCCTCTACGGCGCCCCTGTGTGGGCGCCGAACCTGATGCGGCGGCCCGGTCGGGCGCTGCTCATGGTACAGAGGGTCATGGCGATCCGAATGATTCGCGGTTACCGCACGATCTCCGGGAAATCGGCGAACCTCCTTGCCGGATTACCGCCGTGGGATCTGGAGGCGAAGGTGCTCGCGCGCGCGGAGGCACGTTGTCGGGGCGAAACTCGGCTGCCGCGCCGGATAGGTGCGTGGCGGGATGAGCTCCGGCGCGATCTCATGGCGGAATGGCAGCAACGACTGTCGCAACCGAGGGCTGGGTTCGCTGCCATTGCAGCGGTAAGACCCCTCTTTGAGGAGTGGCTTGAGAGACGCTACGGCGTCCTCACCTACCGCCTGACGCAGGTCCTCACCGGACATGGAAGTTTCGGGAGGTACCTGTGTCTGATGGGGCGGGAGGAAACGCCCGGGTGTCATCACTGCGAGGGCCGCCCTGAGGACACGGTGGAACACACTGTAGCGGAGTGCCCTGCGTGGGCTGAGCACCGCCGTGCCCTCAGGGAAGTGATCGGCGATGGCGACCTCTCGCGTCCGGGCCTAGTGCGGGCCATGATGCGGAGCGAGGGGGACTGAGATGCCGTCTCCTCCTTTTGCGAAGCAGTCATGCTAGCTAAGGAGGAGGCGGGACGCGTGAGGCAGCGAAGTGCTACCTCCTCGCAACCCAGCCATCGCGAAGGACACACCGGGCGTCGGGGATTGCAGGACGATCTCCGACCACTGTAAGCGCGGGCCTGCGGACGGCGAGCATGGGTGGCTCCCCGTCCGACCAGAAACAGAGCCCGCCCGCGCCTTAAAGAGCCATCAGACCACCACAGATGGGGCCCAATAGGGCCAATGCCGATTCGGAGTCGCGGAGAACCTAACGGGTAACCGTGGCTCCGGCTCGACGTGCAGGAGAAGGAACTGAGTGGTTTTTAGTCAGTAAGAGTCTGACATTCCCTCCCGCCTCAGCCAGACGGGAGCATTCATAAGATGATTTTCTCCCCTTAAAAAAAAATAGCCTATTCTACTTGTTTAAAATATCAAGTAGTATCTTTCCTTCGGACTTCAAACTAATGACCAAACGAAACCAATTTTCCAAAGATGTTATTTCGAGTACTATACTGAATTGCGTGTTGTAATATTTTACTTGAACTCACTAAATTAATCATAACTTCTGATAGAGTGAACCGATTTCGATGAAACAAAAACTAAGTTATACCTCGAGTTGCGCAAAAATTTTGTATATAAGCAATGTCTGCATTGAATTCGTAGATTTTACGTGATGCGCGCACAAACAAACAGACAAACAGACAAACAGACAAAAATTTCAAAAATGATGGAAATGGATTCTTTTGGTTATCTTTTAACACGCTGGCTATTTTTTTTGTCAATTTCTTCAATGTACAAAAATTACTTTTCTACAGATTTATTATATGTATAGATTTCGTTGTAAGTAATTCCTATCCTTAAGCAGGTAACTATTTAAAAGTAATGGACATAAAGTTTGAGTAACGCTTTACTAGTTTATCTGCAAAAAACACGGAACTCAGAAAAATATTATATTATGTATAGTAATGAATAAGTTTTTGTTATATATAATGAAGAGCTAGCGCCATCTATATAAGTACTTTGAGTTTTAACTTAGCAACTGAGAATAGTGCGGTTTAAGTTCCGTAGGTGGCGCTAGTCGTGTTATTGTTTGAGTATTGTCGATTACTAGTAAAATAATTTTGGTATATCTTTAGTTAAGTTTTACTATTATCAAACTGGTAATTTATTACTATCGTGTTTTATCAACTTTATTATTTACTTTATTATTACTTTATCTCAAGCTGTGTCACGATTTAGATGTGTCGTGATTTGTTTTTTTATTGAATAGAAGGAGCAGACGGATCACCTGATTGTAAACCCCACTTGAAATGGACACCCACAATACCAGAGGAATCACAGATGCGTTGCAGGCTTTTAAAAAGGAATACGCTCTTTTCTTGAAGGTTTGAAGGTCGTATCGGTTCGGAAATACCGCCAACGACAGATCTTTCCACAGTTTTGCTGTGCGAGAAAGCTACGTGAGAAGCGCACAGTTGTGGCCTGCGCCTGCCGTGATTGCCTAGGACTGCTGAAAATATAATTATGTAGCTTGTCTGACAATCATTAAGTCGTTAAAATACAGATCATGTTCTTCTTTCCTTCTATGCAAGTATGTACTTGAGTTCCCTACCTAGAATGCCTTACAAACAGAGAATAAATGAATAAATCAAGACGACAATACAGATTTGATTTGTTTATTGAAATTAATAATGTTTATTGAATGACATGTTTGAGTGACAACGAGTCTCAGCGATTACGCACAGAATTTATATTGAATACTTTAGACGTTAGTGTCGTTTGGGAACGCGTATGAGTCGTGTCCGCAATCATCAAGTACGCACTCAGTCTGCGGCGCCGTGACCGCCGAAGGAATGTGCGCCGGCGCCGGCCAGTCTCGGACACACCTGCGCGCGCACCAATTGTACGCCGCACCACCCACACACGTCTACTATTCCTTGTCCGCACAGCGAACAAACTTACTCCACACAAAAGAAGCTGAGCTGCGCTCGCGCATCGCGATTTATGGCCGCCTCCGCGCTTGCGCGGTCACATGAAAGCACAGACCGGCCCAGCCACCATTGTCCAGCGCGAATACAGCCTGACGGCTCTTGAATACTTAATTGACACTTAATCACGCAACACGTACGATACGCTATGAATTACTGAAGAAACTCGCATTGACCTTAACTTCCCAGAAACAATACCTATTGATGTTTGCCGATATCTCACGAGTCTAGATTAATTTAAGGAGACTATGTAGTCTGCTTGAATTAATCTACCTCTTTTAGTAACCAGAACTAAGTTATTTTAGGACATGCTGAAAATATCCTTTTTATTGATTATACTCACCTTCTTTAAACGTGCCTAATAACTATGAAGATTAGAGGAACAAATAATCACAATTAGTCCCAATACTTTAAAACAATCTTCTTGTTTACAACAAAGTAATTTTTTTTCAAAACAACCAAACAAAAGTTTTAAATATTTTTTTAGATATTTTAGTAAACATAGGTAAACTGTGAACAAACCCAAATTTTCTATTCAATTCATACGATATGTTTACAACTCTTTACGTATTTAGTGTAAAAAATACAAAAGGCGCCGATATTTTCACACACGTATTAATTGTATTGATATCGACTACAAATAGACAAAATTGGCTCAAAGGAATCTGGGTATGGAGGCTGATTCAAAGAATTATAATTCAAATACTTTTTGTCGGTCTGAAAACCGTAAAAAGGTCGTGATCGGGTTCACACGAACAACACAGCATTTCGCAAACTATTCACGTGTGCGTGTAGGGTGTCCGCCTTGCTTAGCCAAAATTTACAAGATTTTGTTGAAATATTAGAAAGCAATAAACCATAACTACTTATCCTCTTATTAGAATGTTTTTCTTGGCATAAAAAACTATTTATACTTAGGATCTGTCACCTGAAGTTTTTAGCAAATCATGTATCTTTCAATGAGTATGAGGATAGAAGTAGTCGGGACATTCTTAAAACTTAACACATGCCCCCAGATTATAGCGAACAATTTTCTTATACAAGCGCACCAAAGCTAAGTCATAACTCTACAGCAGAAATTGTGAAATTCTTCGACAATCGTGGTTAATCTACGATAAAAAGTTGCGATAATAGCGCGGATGTTAAAAGCGTACAAAATAACACAACAAACATGGCACAACAGGGAACTCTGTATGGCCTTATATGAACTTGGCTATGATATATTTGCGGATAACAAAAATATGAAATCCTTAACACAAGGAAATAAGGTTTAAAGTACATTGATTTGATTGAGATGAGGATTACGAAGGGGTTTGTGACAGAGATCGTGGTCGGTTCTCACGACACGGCGACGGAACACAGGTGCGCATCCGGCTATCTCGCCTGCGCGGGATTCGAATCAGTTTAGTGAAGCGTTCTAATTGTAGTGCCGAAACAAAGATCAATGATTCGAGCAAATGGTCGTTGGAAGACTCTGATAACTGGTTTAAAATAATGAGTCGTAAAGATATGGTTAATAATGTCTTTGTTAGTTAGTTCAGATAAACTTTTTATATTCTTAAGTTATTTAATGTGTAACTTATCTAACTTTAAACTCCTTTAATAAGTAAATATATTTTATAATACATATCGTGACATACATACTAAATTAACTAAAAATTACGTGAAAATATTGAGATGGATTCTTCCTAATAAGCTTTTTAGTTAATTAAGTAAATAATTTTTGGAAATGCATGATGCGACTTGATAACAATTTATTTTCGGAATCCTAACTAAAAACTTTCTGTAAAGTAAAATTTCAAATAAGTACTAAATTTCAAACTGTAAACTGTTGTAACTAGATATCTACCACTTCTTACATACTGTTTGTATGATGCATGATGTGACAATATTTACTTTGCGTGATCAAGTAGTGTAGGAGACGAGCTTCAGGGAAACATAGTTTAGCAATATTATTTCAAATAATGAAATAAATCTATAATCTAAATATCAAACCATGAAAATTGGTCTTGTGAAATGTAATCAGTATCGGTACATTCAAAACGCAAATTTCGTGTTAAGTATCGATGTAAAGTTTAATCAAGCGCCATCTGCCTTGGAGACAACGAACTACATTCCAAGTTAACAAGCGAAGGAGCGCCGCTATCGCTCTAGTGTCAGTGAAATATACTCGTAAGTCACTTTTGAGGTTATATTATTGTAGAGTCGGTATCAATTGTGCAAACAGTGGTGTTTTATTAAGTTGTTGTGTATATTTATTTTTTTTAAATCATGGGTGAACAGATTGTGGAAATTGAACAGGGTAAAATAAAGGGGAAGGTGCTAAAGAATTTCGATAACTTCGAGTATTGTAGTTTCAAGGGAATTCCTTATGCGAAGCCGCCTATTGGCGAACTGAGATTTTCTGTAAGTATAGACTAGAATTTATGTTAGGTAACATTTATCTAGTGCATTTTTATAATCCATATTGTATGATATTGTCTTTAAACTTGACTTATACACGCAACTCAGGTTTATGTTAGTAATCTTATTATGAAATTAGAGAAATGGTTTCTTACCAAGGTTTTAGATTTCTGTAAAACTTATTTAAACAAATCAGTTCCACGTCCAAGGCGAAGTGAATGCAGGTATCCTTTGCCTTCCATTAACAATGCTTAGGTACTGATCTTGGGTCAACGAAACTAACTTACCTTGGTCTTTAGTTTCATTGAAATCGGTGAATGAAAACTGATCGTTATGTAGCACAACATAATGCTGAGATTCCGATGCGCTGCCGCTACCATACACCACCCCTGTATCCCACTGGGGTAGTTAGAGACAATTTCGATTCTAGAATATTACCTACAATTTTTTGTATTTGCTCTTTTTGACTTTCAATTGTGCAATTCCTACCTACCTATTTTCATAGGGCGCAGGTGCGTAAAAAACCTAAACAAGATGTTATCAATTATGTTATCGTTATTATCAGACGATGTCACATTCCTTTATAAACATGACTATACCACTTTTATCTCCCTACCATGTTTTAATTTTAACCCTCGTTTAACTAATTAAGTTCAAAGTAATAAACCAGTGGTTAAGGTATAGACTCTCGACATTCGCTACTAAAATCATACGATTATCCGTGCGCGATAACAAATTACTCAATGTTTGCAACAGTTAGAAGTATGTTAGGATATCTCATTTATTGTGTACGTTATAAGGCTATTTTTGTTCGTAGGTACCTCAGCCACCGGATTCATGGGAAGGCGTCAGAGATGGGACCAAAGACTGTAACACATGCGCACAGTTCGACAAAGAAGTACAAGGAGTTAAGGGACATGAGGATTGCTTGTACTTAAACGTCTATACGCCGAAATCTTTCACTGAAGGCGATAAAAAATATCCTGTTATGGTCTTCCTTCATGGAGGTGGTTTTCTATTCGGCAATGGAACGGACGACTCAGCGCACGGTCCAGATTACCTAATCCAAAAAGAAGTTGTCATTGTTAGTATCAATTATCGACTGGGCATACTCGGTTTCCTGTCGTTGAACCGCAAAGAGGCTCCAGGTAACATGGGGTTGAGAGATCAAGTCGAAGCACTAAAGTGGGTTCAGAAAAATATCTCTCAATTTGGCGGAGACCCTGACAGTGTTACTATATTTGGTATAAGTGCTGGTGCTTCGAGTGTCGAACTACTCCTCTTGTCACCTTTGTCTAAAGGTCTATTTCATAAAGCCATTGCTCAGTCTGGGTCTTCTTTATTGCACTGGGCTCATAAGATAGACATAAAGCAACTTGCTTACAAGATACCGATTCTACAAGGTAAAGTAATCACCGACGACGATCAACTGTTGAAATATTTAAAAGATATGCCTACGAATGAGCTGATTACAGCATCTATGGTTGTTTTGGCAACGGAAAAGGCACAAGGAGGCCTTCATTTTGGTTTTGTGCCTACTGTAGAAAAACATGGTGATTGGGAACCATTTTTAAGTACACTACCCTATGAATTATTGGCTAGAGGTGAGTTTCACAAAGTTCCATACATGACAGGATTTTGTTCTAGAGAAGGATTGCTAATGATTTCGCATAACAAACAGACTCTGGATAAATTCGTTCAGGAAAAAGTTTTTGTGGATTACTTACCGTTTGAGCTGGATGTCTCGGAAAAAATTGACACAGAATTGAAGCTGAAGAAAAATTATCTGGAAGCTGAGAGAATGTACCAAGAAGAAGACGAATACGCAATAGATTTCTTTTCAGATGTCGACTTCATCGGTGGTATTTATACCGCAGCTAAATTAATTGCCAAACATAATGCACCTGTCTTTTTCTACGAATTTTCTTATGACGGAAACTTAAATTATCTTAAAAAATGCTACAATATTGATAGAATGGGGGCGTGTCACGGCGACGATGGCGGATATATTGTAAAGAGCGATAAATTGGATGGACCCATCTCCGATTTAGACATACTTGTCCGAAATTCTATGAATCTAATGTGGGCGAATTTTGCACGATACGGGTGAGTTGCTTTGTTTACGAAATTTATAATGTTGAATTTAAGTAAGATTAGATTACTGTTATCTAGCTAGAAATGCTTGAACTTACATATTATATTGTTGTCAGTATGATAAATTAATATAGGTGTTCTTTATGTTATTTCAGAGACCCAACTCCGAAAGTTGACTCTTTGCTGACGACGAAGTGGGAACCTATAGCTGATACGGGAATTGCCTGCCTCGTCATAGACAAAGAGATGACCATGAAATACGAAGTCTATCCTCAAAGAATGAAAGTGTTTCAAGAGCTCTATGAAAAGAGACGTAAAACTTGCAATTAAATCAGTAATCGTCCAAAATTAGTGAATCATTATTACGTAGCTTCATATTTGAAACATGTTTTAATGTTATTATTAGATGACGTATGAATATAATTTTTATACATGGCTTCATTATTTATAATTGTTTTTGGCGATAATGAATTGTGATAAACTGTGACTAGTGAGTATTATTATGAAAAGCATGGCAAAAGAGAATGCGATACCTAACCTACCGATGGCATCAATCATCTGAATAATGCAGATAAAATTATAAAAATACGTCACAGAAATCTATATCGAAATTCTGAAGGCGCTGAAAGATGTTTTCCGTGTTGTAGATGACTTAGTTTTTAGTTCTAAATCTAATATTTAGTTTCAATTCAAAACATATACTGCATGGAATACTGTCACTGCTTGCTTATTTAGAGGTACTTTATGATGCAATGGCAAATCATTTCCAGTGTCCGTTTATTGTGTAATATAGTGGATGTAACTGGAGTCGGGTGCGGGGGCAGCAATGCTTGGTCCAGCATTCATCGGAGCCACAGTGCCGCTCGGAATGCACTAATACCATTATGGACCACGACACCACTCGCTGTGAGTGGGTGGCTATGCTTCACAAAGTTTAGACCCGACTGGGATGTAAAAAAATACATTTTGTAGTAAGACTTTTGCAAAGGCTTTAGTAAAAACTCAAAACAACACAAGATAGTTGTTATTGTGTTTTTAGTATTGCTTTATTTTATTCGTTGAAACTAAATACGTTATGTAGTGATGTTGTCTGGTTTGGTGTGAAACTAATTTATAAAAACTATAAATTCTACGTAGCATGGAGTCTGGAATTTTGCCCGGTATATGGCAATAGGCTCACCCCCTATTACATGGGACTCATAACATAAATAGTGAAAAGTGGGTGTTACATAGTACAGCCGCATAATATGTACCCTACTGCCTACCCCTTCGGGGATAAAAGTCGTTATGTTATGTTATAAATTCTATTGGTAAAAGGTATGAAAACAGTTAAATTCAATATCTAAACAAGATTTCTGAGTGTCTATTATAAGACGTGTATGCAGCTGCTGCTAATATTTTATTGCTTGACCAGACAACCTCGTTTACATTAACTATGCCAATGATTTGTTTGTTCATTATCTTCTCCTTGGCTATCTTTAATAATAAGAGAGCAATAAATGTTGACCCTCACGCCATTTGGTAACTGTCTGTTCAAAACATGACCTATTAAACATGCAACCTTTAGCAAGGTTCCGGAAGTATTCAACTTCTTACATTGCACTCGTTTCCGAATTGTCTGTAAACCAGTACCTGCTATTAATAACTTGTGTTGTATTTTTCCTTATTACAAACTTTGTCCTAGCATAACTATCTTATAGTAATAGTACGTATCTACGAGTATAATTTTAACTATATCTAATTTTACCTCTTCTTTAAACCTTTTTTTGGGTTTAACCCTTTGAGTACCGTCATTATAGACACAATTAAAGAACAATAGGTTGCGGTCACAGGTGTCCTCGCGGTGTTTGACAGTTAAGTCTTCATAACCTTCACACTGACTTCAGTATTTTAATCAATTTGAGTATCATCATTGGTTTTGAAATTACCTGTAATGTCTATGCGTTCATGTATCTATGCGGCTGGGTCACAGACTATAGTAGACTGGCCGTCGGCGCCAGTGAGTCGCGGTGTGAAATACTCAGGTGCATCCGAACCTGCCCACGGATTTTCTACAGCATGCTCTTTTTATGTTCTAAATAGGCCGTTCGTAATTTATTGGTAGAGTACGAGGACAGCGCAAAGCAAGTCTGGCTATGTTTTCGTTTTGTTCTGTTCTCTTTGTTTTGTTAACTTTCTTATGGATGGGTTTAATTATTTTGCAGTTAAAGCTTTGTGTTTTCTAATATCTGTGCTGTACTCGACTAACTCGACTCTTCTACGTTGATTTCTTGTACAATTGAATTTATTGATTTTTCTCTCTATAAAATGGTACTGTTTTTGGTCTCATTTGTTCTTCATTTATCTTTACTATCATATCTAATGTCGTAGCATGAGGAAAATTTATGTTGTTTAATAGAAAAAATCTGCTATCATATGACAGTCTCCACCAACCTTCATAATTTTATTATTTTCTTAATCTTTGCAATCTTGCCGATAATTTATTAGTTTTCGTTAATCCTAAGTAAAACAAAATTGATCACGCTGTATGAGGCCCGTGGTCCCGGTATCCTTTCACAGCGGTGTGGTGCGCGTGAGTCGTGATTTGATTCCCACAGAGCGAGACCAACATTAGCCTCTTTTTCTTTTCGGCGTGCGTTCCACTTATTGTTGTCTTTTAAATGTCAATATCATTTGTCTTCAATAAAAAAGTGAAAATACTTTTTTCCTCTGAAGATGACGTTTTTTTATAGGGTACAAATGTATTTTGTAAGATCCTTTGTATAATATTAATTTATTTATATGAAATAAATATTTCGATAATGATGTTACCTGTGATATATTTCGTTCAGTAAAATTGGAAACGAATTGAAATTGAATTGATATTGAACTCCAAAATCCTCGTAATGTTCAATTTAACTTTAGATCACACGTTCTGTTGTCAAATTCAAAATCATTTATTTCAATTAGACAAGAAGGGCACTTTTGAAAGTCATCAAAAAAAATTTAAGTGGACATGATTTGATTGCACTCACGATACATTACCCAGTAAAGTTCCAAGAAAATAAGTAATGTAAAATTCATATTTCGATTTCAAATAAGCAACTTCGGCATTTGCTGTCCGTGATTAACCTCGACAACTTCTTTAATTTCGGAAGTGTCAGTCATCGAGTTCAGCGACTTTAAATTAGCCTTAAATATTCGTTTTATTTTTAGAATTCACTCTAATAGTTCCTTTTTACATTGGCAGTAACTGTTGCTAAACATTAAAAAAGCAACTGAAAGCCACAAAACAAGCAGTATCTGACCAGCCAGTGTCTAAAACATTGGGTGGACAGATAATTGATCTGTCCACGTCCGCACTATGACGTAATGGATACATTGATCCGTTCTAAAGGTCCGATACTATCAAGAGATCCACTTGACCTCTGTTTAAACAACAACACTACATTAACAACTGCCATCGTCACAGAATAGAACTTTTTCGTTATCGTTATCTTTTTTGCTTCACGCACAAAAACTCGTGTGCAAACGCTAAGCCGTGAGCAAAACAAGCTGGTTTTTGTGCAAATTTGCGCACCACTCTACTAGCGAATTTAAAGAGATATCGCCGTCCTACTTTAATATGATAATTTTAAATATGTGTAGATACCTATGTATGTGTAAGTCAAGTTTTAGATATGTATGATAAAAATGTCTTGTGGATATAAGTTTAGGTAAAAGCTTTTGTCCGGACCTCCACGTTGATTCTCATTTTTTTTAGCATAAGAAGTAGTTCAAGTGTTATGCTTGACTATAATAATATTTTCCAACTTTCTAGTAGGCTATTATATCAATTTCCTAACAAAAAAAGGAAATGATCTTTTGCACACGACTTTCAACTATCTATAAAATAATCAGAAACCTACATAGTAAAAATGAGTTCATTTCATGGATAAAATAAATCAAATCTTATCAGTGGAATGATAAAGTTCAGATATGATTCTCGTTGTAACGACCAAGTGAGAAAATGCTTTGAAAACGTGTGCAAAATTACGGAAAGCTACATCGAGTGAAGCAGAAGATAGAGCGTTGATAATATAGTGATAAAGAATGATGACTGTATTGGATGGTTTACAGTGAGATATGGGGAGGTAAGCCCCCAGGTCTTACTCCTGAATCTAATTTCGATCGACATTGATATTGTGACGTACTCTTAGTTGCAATACTAGCCCCGCCCGGGTCAGACGAGAGGGATCGTATAGTATGGATATTCAATAATTATTGAGATTTCGTTGCATTGAAATTGAATTGACATTGAGATTAATTTCAAGTAAGCGCCTTGATCTCATATATATATATATATATGAATGAGAATGAAAAAAGTTGGAAAAACCCTACGAAAAATACTTTTCTTGACCCTGAAGTTGAACCCCGAAATTATTATACTCGGCAATCGCATATACAGCAACTCGATTCGTAATATAATTATGTTGTGTGGTGTGTTATTGAATTAATAATATTAAACTCGTTGAAGGGCACAACTCGAGATAACCGGCTGTTAACCCGGTCACTTAACAACACGTACATATATTTATATGAACCTGTCATCTTCGATATTGAAAGAAACATTTATGTGATTCAAGTGCAATCTATACATATAATAAATCTGTAGAAAAGTAATTTTTGTACATTGAAGAAATTGACAAAAAAAATAGCCAGCGTGTTAAAAGATAACCAAAAGAATCCATTTCCATCATTTTTGAAATTTTTGTCTGTTTGTCTGTTTGTCTGTTTGTTTGTGCGCGCATCACGTAAAATCTACGAATTCAATGCAGACATTGCTTATATACAAAATTTTTGCGCAACTCGAGGTATAACTTAGTTTTTGTTTCATCGAAATCGGTTCACTCTATCAGAAGTTATGATTAATTTAGTGAGTTCAAGTAAAATATTACAACACGCAATTCAGTATAGTACTCGAAATAACATCTTTGGAAAATTGGTTTCGTTTGGTCATTAGTTTGAAGTCCGAAGGAAAGATACTACTTGATATTTTAAACAAGTAGAATAGGCAATTTTTTTTTAAGGGGAGAAAATCATCTTATGAATGCTCCCGTCTGGCTGAGGCGGGAGGGAATGTCAGACTCTTACTGACTAAAAACCACTCAGTTCCTTCTCCTGCACGTCGAGCCGGAGCCACGGTTACCCGTTAGGTTCTCCGCGACTCCGAATCGGCATTGGCCCTATTGGGCCCCATCTGTGGTGGTCTGATGGCTCTTTAAGGCGCGGGCGGGCTCTGTTTCTGGTCGGACGGGGAGCCACCCATGCTCGCCGTCCGCAGGCCCGCGCTTACAGTGGTCGGAGATCGT